TCAGGGACATTTCAACCGAAATCGAATTGTTGTTTCGACCTCTTCTGCCTGTGCCAGCCAGTGCTGGGTACTTTTCATTTGGTCGCTCCTCCCCCACAAATGGACAGGCAGGAGTTGCGCTGGACCAACACGGAGACCAGATCACTGTACGGCAGGCATTAGCGGGCCTACGCGCCCACATGCAATTTCATACATTGGGGGGGGGGGGGGTTGGCGGCACGCCTAGGCGTAGACTCATGTCGTAACAATCACCCGAGTCCAATCCCAGGTCCCGTCAGCTTGACTCTGTCCTGAAACGGGGTCCAGGAAGGTAAGGGAATAGTGAGTGAGGTAGATGCGTCGAAAGTCTGCTGCCGCTACAAATCAGTCTGTGCGCAAGTCACTGTCCTCGCGCCCACCCTGTTGTGCGGCACAGGGTGGATATCGTCGGCAGTTGTGTGAAGTAGCCGGGTGCAAAACGCCTAATCCAAGCAATGCCCCTAAATTAACAAGAAGAAACAACCTCCAATGAGGACCGCTGTAATTTGCTCTGGATCTTTCTGCGCCGGTGTTCTGTAGGTGTTCAGTCAGACTGGAAATTTAACCAGTACTGGGAACGTGCTCTTCCCCCCTCCCACTGCCCAGTAAGTTATTTGGATTCCTTCTTCCATGATCGCAACGATAATGTGAAAGTGCCTTTCCAATCTGTGTTTTAACAAGGCTACCGCCACTTTCTCATGCTCGTTTTCTGTTGTCTTGCAAGCATTCCACTTCTAGTGCAAAAACGAAGCTGCCGTTTATTAAGCCATTCAGAGGTCAAACTGGAAGTCTACTGATTTGCGAGGCATGATGGTTGCAGACCGTGTGCTAGTTAAGTCGAACTTTGATGGAGAACAGGCTCGCAGGGGATTATCTTTTGGTTACATCAACGGTAAAGTCGGGCTGGAAATTTTGAAATAGGTGGACCTATGGTCGCCTCCTTTGCTTTGTTCTTCATGGTGGCAGAATTGATCAATGTAGCGCCGGCTGACGAAGGAGGCGAGGGGGATAAGACCAGATCGACTGATTTTAAACACTTGTCTATGACGCTATTAGTGTTACATACAGTGAACTCCGACAAATCAGTCCAATGGCTAAATAGGTTGGCTACTAATTCGGACCAAATATAAGAGACCCAAGTAAGGTCAAACCCATTAGAGCTACGCCACTCTCATTGGTAAGGCTGCAGTAGGGTACAGGACGAGTGCCTATTTCGCGTTCTAGCCCTAACCAAAATCTTAAACCTGAACTTAACCCTTACGCTAACCACTACCTTAAAGTTAACCATGGTTTCCCTGGAATTTAGCCCAAGGTCACCTGTGCTACGGAACGGGGTTCCTACCCCCATGGCCACTGCTTCATTTAATTGCGTATGATTCTAAATCCTTATTCAGGGTTACAGAGATGAACGGGTGGACCGCGTTACGGACAGACAGGGGAACGATTCATTTACTGAAATTTCAGTCCTCTGGCCCGAATAAGCCTGTAATTGACTTGAAAGCGCACGAGGCAAAACGACTCCACTATCAAGAGGCCGATGGCGGCAGCGCCGCGCCGTCGACAGGAACAGCCTGATGGCAGACGGCTGCCAAAACAGGAGCTGATGATACGTGACTCGTCAATGATTGGGCATCTAATAGATATTTTTGGCAGATTCGGATAATTGATCTCGCTCGATTGCGAGAAACTGGGGCGGCATCGGTGGGGTCCGAACTCACGAGAGCAAGTGCAAGGCTTGTGTACATCCAATACTTTAACTTCCTGAGCTACGATATCTGACCGAGAACCTTGTGTGTATTTACATTTGGGTTAAGTTATCAGGCCAACCTACTACATGAAATACATTAATTCTGATACAGTAAATGACTGCTCGAACACGATTTCCTAGTCTCGAATCGACTAGGCCGGGCTGATTCGTCCAAAGTAGAGAGATTAATCGGAAACCACTGCACAGCGCTTTCTTGATTGGCCGAAATAAACCAACCAGGGGTACTGAGGCACGACCAATCTACTATAGACGGGACTTCTATGCTTCAGTTTGCATCTGTTGCACGAATTCACGAGCTGGTACGGGTTTCAGGGTTTTATACCGTAGGTCCAGTTGCTAGGTGTAGATGGTCGGAAAGGCCCTTTCTGCAAGATGACTCTTGGGCTTTTTAGAACTGTTTATCTTATGGAAAACACAACGGTTCAGCGTTCTGGCCGGAGAATGAGGACCCTCTGCCGTTGGAATGAAATGCGCGTGCACAGTGGCGGTAAGTCCCAGATGAAACTCGCGCGGCTCTTGCGTGGCAGCCAGCCCTAGGTCCGTTCACCAAGGACCAGAACCGGCCAAATTCTGTGACTCGCTAGCATCACCTGCCAGCAAGGAGGACCAATGCCCCCTTGTGATTCTTCGCCATTGGAGCCTTCAGAAGCGTAAACACTTATTTCTGTCAAGTGCATAATTAGACATCTCGGTGATGGACAGCCAGTGCGGTAGGGACGCCTCGAATCTTACACTGGACTTTGGTCATGCAATTTAATCCGGAGAAAAAAGGTTAGGCGAGAGGCAAACCTATCAAACGAGTCAGTTAACTTCAAAAACAGATTTCTCGGTGAGGCTACTGCCTGACATTTCAATTGAAATCACCCCCCCCCCCTTCTGCAGAAACTGATGCGTTCTACAGTACAGAGCGCACTGCTTGTGCATTTGATGCTTGGTTGGCCAACACTGATTAATGGGAAGTAGTGCATCCCCTGAATGGCAGTCAACGTTCTCTAAGACAGTTATCATCATTCTATATTTGCAAGAAAACCCGCAACTCGTATTCGTAGTCAGCGACCTTCCACCAGCCTCATCCTGGCTGGATCTGGCTTCCGCTGACGCGGCTGAAGGATGAGGGTTCGCCCGGACGAGTCCCGTCGAAGGTGCGTTCCCGAGTCAACCTGAAGCACTTAAGCTCCGAAGCCACACGCGCAGCGGACAGAAAACGTCATTTCGAGTGAACGGACTGACACCGATTCGATAGTGCATACCTGCAGGCCGCTGAGTAGGTAGTAACTGACGCAACACTCGAGGAGAGAACAGGGGCCCACAAGCCTAGAACGACAGTTTGACCTGAACTGGCTGGACTCCTGAGACTAAGTCGTGAGATACAGAACCCACATGTACAGCATGCGCCAAAGGGCGAGAATTCGCACCGTGTTCCATCAGCCGCAACCAACCTGGCCAGCTGATTTAATCGAGACCCCTCTCTTCTGGTTTCGCGAGCCAGTTTACTTCAGTTTGAGCTACTGCGGATAAAACCGCCAGTTCCCCTCGAAATCCCATGAAGAAGTCATTCAAAGAGTAGGCTCACTCTGAGTCACATTTGGAGTACCAGCTCAGGGTGTGACTCTTCCCAGGCCGTTAGATTTAGACCCAACGGGCGCCTACGCCACTGACTAGTCGGGTGCGACCAGAGGACGTCACTCACTCCAGACTACTCGGCGACCAACTTGGCCCACCGGTGCTTAACCAGTTCCGTCTGCTACAAGTCGGACGACAGACTAGTTCTGCCTGGAGTACTAACATGCATGCTAAGTTCCGTTCTAGCCACTTCTGCCATTTACCATCTTCACAAGAATAGCGAAAATTGGCAGTCCTACCCACGGACCGACACGATAACCAATCTCATCGCAATTAAAAGTACTGTGGTAACTTCAGTGTGAGAGGCTACTTCCTTGGTCCAAATCAAGATCTGACTCATCGGCAGATACAATAATAGAGAAAACCTCCTGTTCTAAAATTTCTACCCAACGACCTAGCCAGCATTTAACGATCGTCCCCTAGTATTCGATACCAGAGGGCCAGGGTTAACTTCGGATAAAAGCCACAACGGCACGCTCCTAAGGGGGCTATGAGCAGCAAGTAGGCGGACAACGTGAAACGTCGTGTGGAATTGTCGATGCCCACAGTCTGTTTAATAAAAGTAACCCTAAGATCGTCAATCAGGGGTGAACAGCGAAATGTCGCCGTTCAAGTGATTGCTAAGAGTCCAGACCCAGGGCAAAGGGAAACAGGAAGGCATTAGCAGATCGTCTGAATCTGCACTGCAGAGCTGGCTGGAAAACACTAACAAACAGGAGTCCAAAAATAACATAAATAGTCTTCAATGTGCCATTCAGTTGGTGGACGTCGGCGTGGGGTGGGACAGAGAGGAATGAGGGAGGCAGTGCGGTATCGAAGGCGCACGCGTGATTGAGTCAGAAGGACTGCGTCCTGCGGCATGATGCACGCATGCACATGCACAGAGCGGTTCAGATCATGACTGGATCTCCATATTTCCCCACACCCGCCAACCATCGAGAGAGAGAGAGAGAGAGTAAAGGAGCGGAGAATGAGCGACAGGCAGTGGTGGCTCTGATTGGCACAAACCAGAAGAAATAGAGCAGGCACCTGAACGGCAAAGGCACCAGGCAAAACAGATTGTGGCGGGCTTCCGACTTTCACTAGATATACAATTGGCAGAAATCTCGCGGCGGAAGTGGTAGAGGGGTGATACTTCGTACAAGGGGCAAAGGGTGGTGAAAAGGAAGAAGAGTTACCGTTCTAGAGGAGCGCTACGGAGAGGAGACCATGTGAGGCCTACAAGTGAGGTAGCAGGGTGACAGGCAGGAGTAGAACCAGGTCGGTGTGGAAAAGTGGGAGCTGAGAAGAGCAAGTCAAGCGTCATAAAATCTTGCCGGCAACAAGGCCAGGAGGTGGTGGTGCTATTAATCAGCTGTAGCAGGGGTGTGGATTTAAAAGAGGTCGAAAAGCGCAGTGGATTAAACTCGGGATAGGCAGGAGGGAGTGGAAGATGCTGTTTCGGGCTGGCAGCGTGGAGTGCAGGCAGAAAGAGGTGTGACGTGAATCCATCATCGGAGGCGGGAATTTCTTTTTCTCTCAGGATGGCTTACGCCGACAGGGGGGAGGGGGTGGCAGTAGACGGTGTGGGGTGGCGCAAAAACACGACGTTTCACTCGGTAGGAAAGCTAAAATAGTGCAGAAAGAAATAGCACACACATTGTGCAGGGCACAGCAATATGGATGAGTATTCCTGAGATCAATCAGAATAATTAAAGACAGAAAAGGGTTTTAAAGGCAACAAGTGGCGAAATGAGCGTTTCGTGGCGGCGCGTCCTCAAGTGGTTGATACGGAAAATCTGCCAGACAGGCAGATAGTAAGCCAATTAAAACTCGGAGGCAAACCCATCAGGGTTCACTGTCCACGAGAAAGACTACAACGGTAGCGATGTGCAGATCGCTGTGGATCATCAAAGAGGGTTTTGCCTTCCACTGCTACCCTGACGCCAGGCTGCAACGAACCGAACTACCACAGGATAAAATCTCAAAAAAATCAAGGTCTGTTGGGGGTCCACAACCACACAAGCTTCCACACCACTGCAAGAATGTGTCATTATGTGGTATTTTGAATGACGTACGGGCGTCGACAAGAGTCTGCCTAATTGGAAAGTGCGTGGTGGATTGGGCGAACAAAGAGATGGAGACTGAGAAGATTTCTCCAGGCAAGCGTGCATTTGCAGTCTTTGTAGTTGTCACCGCTACGCTATGGATACAGGCCGTTTGTGGGCAGTTGGTCTTTTCAAGGCTCGCTGCAGAAATGTGGAGACACCAGAAATTGCCCATAACTACTTCCTGGAGCTTTTGGATAAATCCCAAACTTCGGATGTTTTCTCCAAGCTAGGCCGGAGCGCACGTCATCATTGTCGGCCACCCCTAGCTTAACCACTCGCCAAGCACCTGAAAAGTCCGTCATCGGTAACGGACATCATTTCTGAGTTGCGTCGAAAGATTGATGATTAGGTGCCCCACACTAAGTGTGCCCCAAGGAACTGAATGACGTTCTCCTTCCCTGTTCAGAGATAGGAAACAAGATGGAATGTTAAAATTACAGACGCACCGGCTTCATTCATCAACGACGGCACAGAGGTCTCAACACGTATCCTCTGGAACCGTTTGACTCCGGGTCAGGGACGTAGGAACGAATAAAACCTGATAGATTTTTCGGTCTGGCAGTAGGCATCGCTTAAATACCTACCCTTAAAACTCTGCCAGCAGAGGTGCGTTGTTTTCGACAGATGATGTCTGCCGACCAAATTGTCTTTTGAATTCTTCAATGGGACTTTTCGCGACTTGACTGGATTCTGTTGCAGAGTTCGACTTAGCCGACTGAAATTCTCTCTGGACGATAATTAAGGGTGCTGGCATACTCCCGGAATTCACGAACCTGATCGAGGCATACTAAGATTCAGGGTGACGGCTAAAGGAGTTATTACTTCGCTGCCAATGACCTCTCCTAACAGCGGTTCTCTTTATGCACTACGGTCGCGGGAGGTCAAGCCAGGGATCAAAGAACACGGGCCGCACTGAAATCCGTGATGTCATGGACTCTACAGTTGTCTGAACAACCATTGTACAAGTGGGCAATCAAGTTAACTTCTCAACATTTGGCATACTCGATGAGATTGCAGCAATTAACGACACGAATGTCGGCCATCAAACAGTCATCACACCAAGTGCAACGATCCCTGATGAAGGGGGAGAGCCGTGAATAATCATAGGAACTCGGTAGCATGGCGACGGCATCCTATAAATACTGCAGCCCCCTTCGCATAATCTGCTTTTGTCTCTGACAATGGGTTCGAGCAGGAATCCGAAACATCAGGCTAATAAAGCTCTCGTCCTAGCGATCGTGTCTCTTTCTTCACGACTGCTTCCTGGGACTCGGCTCTTCGCTTCTGTTGACAATCGAGAATGATGTTTTGGCTTCTTTATAAGGTATACGGGAGACATGGATTCTATCACAGACTAGGTCGCAGTGGCAGAGCAGTTTTACAGATGTTAGGTAGTCCGAATAACCCGAGAACATGTGAGCCTATGAGTTGTGGATATGAGGCTGCTCCCTCGTTTCTCAGTTTTCTACAAGGATTGATTCTATCCACAACAAATGCGCACAGTGGGCAGTCAAGCTAGTCCGCGTTAACTTACCTAAATGTAAAAGGCGCTCTTAGGTTCGTCGACGGACAGCGTGATACTAGCCTAGAGAACATCCATACGATTTCGCTGGGAGTGATGAGCCTGTTTGCCGATGTTACGGGATAGAATTGACGATAAAATATCCGAATCTGCGACTGAAACCGACTTGGAGGCCAGGCAGTTGTGTGAACCACTGCAGCTATGCACCAAGTGTGTAGTTCATTTTTAAGGGCAGGTTTATGGCTCAGCAATGGGCAGTTTTGGCGGATGCTCTTAAGAAAGGCTTTGAACAACAAACCATGGGTGACAGTTTCGTCGTAATAGATGACGTCGGCCTTAGCGAAACGTAGACCAATGTCAGGAACAAGTTACACCCATTCAGCAGCTGGGTTGTTAGACGCCAAAGCGGCAATAACAGCACATGCATTTCACGAGGTTTCTTACAACTTAAAGACGGAGGAACGCACTTTTCTGTCAGTCTGACTGCTTCGCTGAAATGTAGCTCACTAATAAGACAGATAACTACATAAATTTCTCAAAAGACCTACAAAGTATTAGGTGTAGGGAGACATTTAACGAGAAGTGGGATAAATTGGTTTCCAGTTCCGAAGAAAACCAGTGACGACCTGCCTCTCTGATATGACCAAGTTAGGGTTTCGTAGCACGCACGTGCGCGTCACCTCTAATCGTGTTTACGAGTTTGCATGTACTTACGGATGCTAGCGCACTGGGTGCACGCGAGGACACTTGACAACTATGTCGGTCAAATATACCAAAATGACTTCCGGGGGCATAAAACAAGACGTCCAAAAGTCCAATGCCGAGGCATACTTGGGCACTGATCACACTATGGATTCAATGCTGGCATCTAAGACCCCGAATAGTGCAAGGATGGCCTACGTATCCTACGCACCAGTAAGGTCAACGCTGTGCAAGTGGTCGGGTCACGTGGCCGGCCTTGCGATGGTAGCGGGCGCTCGTCTAAATGGATCGCATCCTGCTTCTGCTCCCACAAACCCTGGCCGTGCCCTCTCGTACATCCGACTAATTGTTCATGTTCTTTATTACTTGTCGCGTTCAACTTGTTCTAGCCTGCTTAACATGGCCCGCCTCCCTAATACCCTTTATAGGCTTGGTTGTGTTCCTAGGCTGCTTATAATTTATAGCCCCCAATGTTGTTTATCACCTACCGTGTTGTATTTATTCTACACTGTTCACATGCCAACGTCCAATGATATGTAAGCAGGCAAAGGTTGATTGCAGTTAACTGAGAGGCGCAGTAATGCGGTAGGGTCATTAACTGCTGCTTCCTTCGCAATGTTGGCCCTCTCAAAATATTTACGCATAGAAAAGCGGTGGAAGGGGCCAAATTAACTAAGAGGCACCATTTTTCCAGTGATTTACACAGGTGGCTGGAAACAGTCGCGATTGAAAGCCAGCACGTTACCACATTCGAAATAAGTAGGGATACCATTAATGTTGGTTAATATTGCAAAATCACCAAACTAGTAGGTTTCGATTTGAAATCATACCTAAGGATTTTGGCCAATGCTTCATCGGTTTGAAGGGCCGAAGTGGCCTTGTAGCCGCCGCCCTCTTGAGCAGTCCGCAGCTTCACGAGAGTGTGTAGACAGAGGAGTGTTGACAGGACTAAAGGTGTCCACAACGGCCACTTATAGACCTAGACCCTATCATTTCCCAAGTATACAGCGTCACAGTGCCCATCTGCTGTGGTAGCACCCACGGAATGGAGAATGGGATTCCGATGGTCATGGCACAAACTACCTAACGATGGGTCGCTGAAGTCAGCCAAAAAGGGATAGACGAATTCGAAAGCTCACTCCAGATCTGGTGTCCCAAAGTGCGCAAACGGTCTGAAGTGCGCGGCATTAGCAGCTGCCGGGAAGATTCGTGCTGACTGCAACGCCTACTGCGATGACAGACAGCGGATAAAAGAGGACGAGCAATTCAAACTAGGGTCATTTAGCCTCGCCTGGTAGTTAACTGCCCTTGTTTTACTACCACTTAGGTTACCCAATTAGCAACTGGTACAAGGACACGGATTAAAGGGGTTTAAACCTCAGGTCTCTACGACCCAAAGCTATCGGGGGAAGATGACTAGATTGGAAATGGCCACTCCAGTCTTCCGTGTCTCGATTAAGCTAAGTTTCTGCTGACTTTTGCCTGTTTGGTTCCTAAAAATTTGAAGGTGGATGTGCTGAAACCGTCCTCAAAACCGGATAACTTAGGCTCTCAGCAATGATGTTTCATCGCTCAGAGTGCTTCATTCCATTTAAACGCCAACTGGTAGTGCAATTGCAGCATATTTGGTGCGCTAGATAGATCAAAGAAAACCCAGCCAGAGTGCGTTTTGCTTTTGGGTGGGCACGAATCTGCGATGTCTCCGATACTCAGAAAAGCCTGCTAATTGCGCAAACTCATTGACATTCGCTTCTTCCTGGCACGCAAGACGAGTCTACTGAGTTGTTAGAAATAAGACACCGTCTCGCGCCTGACCGTGAAATTCACATGTTATAATGAAGACTTATGAGTTCGAACTTTTGCACACAGACACCTAAAAAGATACCAAACCGAAGATTGTCCAGTAGAAAAATTGGTAATCGCTCCTGACACTCAAAGCTGGAGCGGTTCTTCCAAAAGCCGTCATTTGGGACTAATTTAAACTCATTTAATTATTTTAACCGTAAAAGGTCGCCTCCCTATCCTTATCTGCGAGCCAGACATGCTTAAAGTACCAAAACGCAAGTCGCTTATAGGCCAAAATAAGAATAGTTGTGCATGCAGGTGGGGCAGAAACATGAGGCGATTCATAAAGAAGGCGGCCAGACTAGGCAACGTGTCACCGGTCAAGTGGGTCAGACTGGTTTTTATTAGTACGATGAAACTTGATGTGGCAACCGAGTGCACCACTACCGTAGCCCTGATTTGCCAATTAAATTATCGCAAAGCACGGTCATGGTTTGGAAGGGTTCCAGTTGAAGGAATAGTTTGCTCATTCCCGTGGAGCTGTAATGCCCACTCCTTAATGTCGCCTTTACGGCACACTGACTCATGTGAGATCCTAGATCCCAAATCCGATTTTGAGGCCCGATTCTTGTGACGGAAAGACCAGGGAGGGAGAGAGGGTATATTAATTAAACGGGCGATTTAACGTACCATTCGGAAACTTGTGCGTGCCGTGCACAGATGCTCTCTACAAAGGCTCGTCTAAAAGAAGAAAAAGTAATTGTCACATTGGCGACTGAGAAAAAAGCGAACTTACTTTGTTACAAATCCACCAGGTGGGTAGTTGGGTAAGACTTGGGATTGGACGATATTGGCGATATAAGTGGAGGTAAGAGGTGTATCGCTGTTGGCTGCGCCCTCGATTGTACCTGAAGAGATAAAGGCCAACACTTGAACTCTTCATTGATAGGACCATATGGGGAGGCAGGTGGTATATTTCACAGACTCACGGGTGCACTATATGGTGTCCAGGCATCCCGCCACATGCACGTGACAAGAGAGCGCTCGAGGCAATGTAATTAGCCCTGCCAAGTGCTATTTGGCCACCCTCTAACCCCACGTTATGTACCCGCGATGTCACCTGAGGTTTACCACCTGTGCAGATGTAGTACACGACGGCGCGCGGTGCAACATGAGTCTCGAGCTGATGATAGCTAGGAAGCCAGAAATGGCTATTCCGCTCTCCCTTGGTTTTGTCGGTAATGGTGGAGGGGTGCTCACCGATCGTTCTCACGGAACTCACTCGTCCCCTGTTGTGCCTTACGGGCTCTCTCACGAGCCAAACCGGCAGCAGCACAGCGGCGCATGATAAAGGCACGTATTTGGTGCTTCTTCAGGTGCCTTTCAGCTAGTTCGGACACATTCTTAATGTACGGAAGCGTTCGCCAGTTTTTTGGTTTGGGCGCCTGATCGGAACCATCTAGTTCCTTGTCTTTTTCTTTTAACTCTTGTGGTCTCATGCATCGGTGTACAAAATATCTAGGATACCTAATCTGGTAATTCCGTTCTGTTTGATAGGTTTCGTTGTCAGACCGATAGTATCCCAGTGCCCCCAGCCACTGTCGCTAAAACATCTCGCTCAATTGAGCCACATTCACAAGTTGCGCCTGATTGAACGGTGGAATACGAAAAATGCGTCCTGCTTCCAGCAGTCAGAATAGCTCAGTGGACGTAACTCTTATGGTACTGCGAATACTGCCGACAGCAGACGACAGCGCATGAGCCTGTTGCTCAACAACAGAAGGTCGGAAGGCGTTATTGGGAATGCGCACGCACAACAAACGCCAAGATTGGGGTGTCGCGGCGGACCCAGGTGCAGACTCACGCCGCGATACAAGCCGTCCCCCCTTTCCCTTAGAGTAAAAACCTGGCCAGGGTGTGTGGCGGTACGCCGCCTAGGTGCGGATTTTGCCGTGCCAGCCGTCTACGTCCTCTCCCGCCTCCGGTCTTTTAAAAGCTGTTATAACAGCGGGTTCAGGCGGGAAGGAGAAAGTGCGGCAGATGCGGCGCAAGTCTACCTTCATTATAGACTGACTACCTCACGTGCAAGTCACCGTACGCGCCCTCACCCTGCTGTGGAGCACACGATGGACATCGTCGATCACGTCGGTCGAACTGCCGCGAAAACCTGCTGTTGCTGGTGTGTGGCACGTACAGACGGGCCATTTGGCTGTCAGCTACTCCTGCCAGATTCCACCATCAGATGGATGACCGGCTCGGAAAATGGACTGGTGCCTGGGAGGGGGAAGATAGGGTGGGTTGACTCTGAGGACTTGCTCTCAACGGCACTCAGTGCACATTCTTCACGCGCTTTTAGACTACCACGGTGCGCTGAAATCCGTAGCTTGGGAGGCTGACAACTGACGAGGTGACTTGACCCATGTCTCGGAGCGGAGTCAGGCTGCAATAGCTCTTTCACAGTGTGGTCTCCATGACATACCTACACTGGGTTGGGATCTGAGCCGTCCCCTTGTTGGTTCTCTGCGTAAACCTGGTCCAGCGTGCGTGGACCAGGCGTGTGTGACGCGCATAAACAGGCCGTGTCAGCCAATGCGCCAGAGCCTGCCTTTGGTTACCGGACTAAGGTGGATGAGGGAAGGGAATGCGGTAAACACAGCGTATGTCGATTATCACTATAAACTAACTCACGCATAATTCACCGTCCCTGCGCCCACCATGCAGGGGGGTACAGGGTGGATATCGTTGTCCGTGACGGACGAACTGCCGTCACACTGTCAAAAAAACACTTCCGTAGTCATTTTCGAGTCTGTGTGTGGCGGCGTGCTAGCGTGCATTTTTCCACCTCATGCGCTGAGATCGGCTTCAAGTCCTGCCGAGTAATTACATAGTGGTGAATTGTTGACGTTCCCAAGTAAGTAGCGAGTCTTGACCCGGACAACGAATAAGTACCACAGGTCGGTGTCCGAGGCGCGCGCTGCTTGGTGACTTCCAAGACGGTTCTGTTGTGTGGCAATGCACGATGAGTTTCAGGCCCCCGTCTCTCCCATCCCCCCAGTGTTTGACTGTTGACACTCCTTTGTGAAAATGTGATTTGTGGGGAAGGGAGACTAAGGGAGGAGGGAGTGCGACAGTTTCTGCAGCAGTGTCTGATTCGGTGGCGTTTTATCACAATATAGATGACAGAAAAGGTCGCAACTGCACTTACTTTCGATAATCTGGCGTATGGAAGCTTCTAGTTCTTCATCCTGGCGGACGATTTCAGGATCGACCTCCGGAAGTTTGTTTAGGCCGACTAGGAGGATACTCATATTGTCTTTACTACCCTGAATAAAATCAAAGAAACGAGATGCATTAGAAACATCGATGCTAATGCGCAATTTAAGTTGCAATCGAGAATCATTGAGGAATTAAAGGCGTCTAGGCCTGGCAAGGGCATACTCGTTTGGGGGTTCGGTGTGACCTGGAAAGAGCGTTGTAAGAAACGCATGTCATTAACACTGTAAGTATGCGATAGCGATTGACTCGTGTCGGTTTTAGTGCAGCTTGTTTCATGATGGTCAAGGTTTGAAGGTATTTGGCACTTTAGGAAAATGTAAGGTGGCTTTATGGCAGTGGGCAACCCTTACGCCATACAAAGATACCATTGACGCAGGTTAGAGAAATAAGCTACCTCTCGTGTTACCAAAACACCATTGAAGGCGGTTGGCAAAGAGGCCGTCGGGAAGAGGTAAGTGAGCACAGCTGATGTCAACGTCTGAAATTGCGAGTATGCCAACTGCCGTCCCGATAAGGGGAAAACACGCAGTGCCCAGGCGGCGGACTTAAGGTAGACTCCTAGAACCCAGAGTATGCTGGGTGCCTGCTAGCATAGATAAAGCCTACCTCCCCCTTCCACGTCCGACTTCGAGCTCAAGAATTACAGGAAACCATTCCTCCACCAAGCCACCTCGCTTAAACGCTGCCTGGTTAGTCATGGCTCGACTGGACTTTGGTACGTACGTTCTGGTTGGACTTCCCGCTGGAAGCAGTGGCACCGTGTGGAGCAGTTCCTCATCTAACAACAACAATCTCTTGGGACAGAAGACACACATAATGTGGCGGATTTAGCCCACAGGCGTCTGAGAACACGGCACGGTCGAACCGCCAACGTTTTTCGTGTTTATTTGGTCGGTCAGACGATCTTTGTTTGCTAGGTGACGTTTTAGGCATACTAAGAGGCGGATCCTGTCTGTTCAAGTCAAAGATGAGAGCGAATCAGGTGAGGATATGCGGTGAAAACGAAAAAGCTAGCACAGCTGTGTTTCAGGAAGGAAGGCAGCAGGAAACGCTGGGGGATGTCACAGAAACGCAATATGGGCTCTGTATCATCTTACAACTATTACACTTGCTGATCTGCCCTTATCTTGGCCGTCAGTCTCCCTCCATAATCATCTCACCAATGTTTTCTAGACGTGAACAATCCTTGTGCGGTCACCAATGACGGTATGAGTCAAAAGGTTTCCAGCCCAGTCTCGCAATCTATTATGGCAACAAGAGGACGCTATTGTACAAAGCTGATGGTTCGACTTTGATTGTAGGAATCATGATGGGTGGCCACAACTCGGCGACAAGGTGTCAAAGTCAATCACAGAAAACATCCCTCTTAACAGCATACATTTTATGAAATAAGAAATTAGTACCAGAACTTTGAAGAATATACATTTTGCTCATCCCAAGACCATTAAGTGTCTCACATCTGGAATGCCCAGGGATTCGTAAGATATCGATTTTCGAACAAAAATGTTTACTGATGTGGACTTTTAACACAGACTAGCGTGGAACAGAAGTCCCACACCTTTCATGCATAAACGTAAGGTGGGTGAACGACAAACACGACCTAAACTTCCGACCGTTACCCGGCACTATGGTGAGGGGGTGGGGCCATAACGCGCCGGGGTTAAGAGCTGTACTTGAAGTTACGACCGCAGCTATGGTGCGTTTGTGCCCGAGTATGTGCAAGTGCATGCTCCTTCCATCAGTTCAGAGTGCGGCCACTGAAACCCCCAGTTATATTCAACGCTCCGGTGAGAATCACAGCCGCACAGCCTCGCAGCAGATTCACATGGTTGTTAGTGTGCGAAAATCCATGCGACGGCGGTAAGTTGACTTGGGTATGTGCACACTTTCACGAGAATCGGCGGTAATTTATCGAAAACTACACTTTGTGACCTGTGAGGATGCAAAAATGTACCAAACTGTGGAAGGTAGTTGAGTAAAACTCTAATTTGGGAATCATTTGCGATGTAGAAAGCTTCGGCATTCCAGTCTGCGACGCCATTCGCCGTCGGCAGGCTCCGAAGATGCTTGGAACTTAGACCACCAGGACGCCTATTGATGATTCAGCGACCGAGTCACTGCATGTGTGGGTTGAACACTAAACCACGCTGGAATATGATGGTTCCTCCGTCAAACACGGTGAGAGTCACCAATATCCTGGAGGAAGCAGTGGAAAATTATGTCCCAATTGAATCGCAGTAATGGAAAATTACGCGGAATGGACCTCATTCGTACATCCCATACAGACGTTTTAATGACGGGATAAGGCTAAGGAAACAGGATATGAACGTGGCAGAGTCTCGGTCTGGGCAGTTCGACTGTCGCAGGCGACAACGTGCACCGCGTGCCCCACAGAATGGGCGCAGCACCGGTGATGTGCGCGTGAATTACTTTGTAGTGAGGCTGGCTTGTGCGGCATCAGCCGCGCTCTTCCTCTCATTACCCACACCTCGCTTCGATGGCAAGAAATGCCAAGGCGACGGGAGGTGGGTGCGAGCGAAGTGACTGACGCAGCCACAGTACGCCTACGTCTGCCACGCTCGACTCCGTCCCCACTGCTACGACGCACAAGTCGAGTTTCGCACGTTTGGATGCCAACGGTCAGAGTTGCCAGGAGGTTACGTCAGAAAGAGGCCACTGGGACGTGACTCCTAGCTCCACCGAGCGAGTGATCCCCCTTGTCGGTGAGCTTGGAAACCATGACTGCAGGGACGTCGTAGTGGCTCAAAGGCGCGCAAAACTGATTACGGTGAGAGAGACTTTTGCGGCACTGAATTCTCGCTCTGTCCAACTTCATTGCATACCAATGCCAAAACGAAGCCAGTAGTAAGATGAGGTGAGACGCAGTGGGTGAATAGACAGTTCAGCTGTGTCTCCGGCGTAGTGCACATGTGCTGATCCCCCGACCGGCAAGAAACAGACCTCACACACCTGGACATCACATCGGGGGAGTATCCAAAAAGGGCATATAAGGGAACCTAATACTGACACATATACCAACGTAAGATGGTTGAGGATGCAACAATGAATGGTATTATAAACGAATGTGGCATAACCACCACAGCCTAGGGCCAGTCGAGAGTGCTTGCTGCAAAAAGGTAGGGTGGGGAGTTAAGAGCGGCTAAAACTTTGACAGCGGTCAATGGGGCCGAGTTGTCGCTCGTTATGTTATGGGGTTTTGCGAAATTGCGCAGTCACTTAAGTGCTGAGGAGAGCAGGACTGCAGTTGCGTAGTTCATAAAATAAGAAGTTTGTGGCCGACAGTTTCCAACCTGAGCCAACAGAGCCTTCGTTGAGTTAGTGCGAAAATCCAGTTTATCCAGCCTTAACAGGCGGTAATATAAGACTTCTGTTGTATCACACCACTCGTGCAGCCACAGCGGAAAGCAGAGACACATTTTACCACCGTGGACAGCAGGGTCGTTTGCATAGGAGGCTCAAAGTCTAACTCAGATTCTCAATGATCAACTAATTAGGATTCAAATCTCCAGTCTTCCCGGCCTCGAGTGGAGGCATGGATAGCTACGACATATAAACTAGAAATAACCATTATGTCCGTCTGTCCTTGTAGGAAACAACTCGCAAGCTCTGATTGCTCATCATTATGCGATCGCCCACATGGGCTCTGTTCTAGGCCGGAACTCCAAGACGAAACAGAATTGTCCGTATTTTGTCCTGTAATCCAGATACACCGGTGAACCCTGCTCCCATGCGACTTTCAAACTGTTTTGGTGCTTAATAAGCAGATTAGCAGGGGCCTTGCAAACAAATTCAAGCTAGCCCTCGTCCGTAGATAGTGCTGGTTAGGTTTCGAACGCATAAGGCGCCCCTAATCCGATGCGAGAGGTCTGGATTAGCCTTAACCAGTAAATCTGTATCAAACTGCTGTCAAGGGTCACATGATCAGCCATAACTTGTATGCGCCCTTTTTATGCTTGCACTATTCTAACGGTGGCTGGGGCGCATCCAGCAGAGCGAACTGCGCCTACTTTTCTGGGTCTGTGGTAAAGGTCAAACCGGTTCCGAACTCCAGTTGGGCAGAGCGCATTCACTAAGTAGTGGCAACGGGTGTAATGTTAGCAGCCAGAGTTACTGTGAAAAGAGAAGTTCCTGTAAGCCCGCAGCTGGCAGCTACCACACGCTGGCACCCTCGGAGTGCTATTTTGGATCACCCCTTCGAAATAGGGTCGATAGCTATAAATGGCGTTGGCCATTCATGCTGCCATCCACACTCTACTGCATGCGCAGTGAAAACGCCAAAGTGTAGTGTTGTACAGCTCACACCCATCAGTCAGGTGCGTGTACTTTTAGAGGTCGACAGAAACGGTCACATTTCGTATGATATATTTCTCACTTCGCAACTGCCAATGCATGTGGAACATCCTTATTAGCCAACGCGCAACATCCACGCGTGATCCCAGAGAGTGCATTACAAAGGACACCTGGACCACTACAGGGCTGATACAAGGTGAGATTAACAGTAGGGTTTTGGCCATTGTTTTTGTACTGAGGGAAACACTAGAGCCTAAGGACAGTAAATGCGCAAAATCACGACGGAAAACACCTAATTATTACAATAAATTTGGACGAATGCGCCATTTATGAAACCGAGTGCAGTGGGACGATGGGAACCTCGTGGAGATTAGAGCTCTGTTAGTCTAGCTGCGGCCCACCTGACGTTCACAGGTCGCGAATGTCAAAACGGTCTTCAGCGAAGATTAGCAACGAGATAAAGACTCGTCTGATGAATAAACGCCGACCTCATATATTAGTCACCCAGAAATAAGTCACAAGGTATGACCGTATAAGGGCATAGCGAAGTTTGCCTGCCACCGAATAGGGCTTCGCCCACCGACCAGTATAATTTTGAAAACCTAGACTGGTGTGCTAAAGGGGCGGATGGAGACGTCCAAGTTCGAATAAAGGAATCATAGGAAATCATGCTTTCGCCAAGACACCTCACGCAACCGCAGTCCAGCGGACTGCTGAACGGTCGAAAAGCTATAGTACGCGGGTTTGGCTTGGACACACCGAGGGGGCCAGTGGCGTCGTAGGGTGCAACTTCTCACGCAATGACAACAGCAGCATCCACCTAGATTAACGCCACACGCGGAGGGTTCCCTGCTGAGCACAAATAGCCGAGAACCTTATGGGAAACCGGATTCGCAGTCAATAAGCCAGGCGTGACGCCCCTCTGATGACCGGAGAACATTTTCGAATGTTTGGTGGACACCCTATCAGTTTGAGCCTACACGAACGTGGCTGGTCTCCAGTGAAAACGGACGTCGGATGGTCAAACGATGACATGGCCCCTGCACAGGCAATACCAAACTTCATTGACTTGTATTATGGGTTTTTCAGCCGAGGTGGCCAAAAAGCATCCTCAAGCGCAGCAAAGTCAATGTCAACTTAAAGCACCTTTCACCGATAGGATGTCAAAGCGAGGGAAGTTAGGCTGGTGCCAACAGAGGGACCATCACTTATGCAGCAAGTGTGGGTAGTCGTAGGGCAACCCTTGCAAATTAAGGCAGTGTATATCGTCATACCAATAGGGCTTTTTTGCTGCATAAAAATCTGCCAGGCGCAAACTTGAGCATCTGGGGACCGTCTCCACGTGTGGAGGAGCTACGTCCGCTAAGTAACGCCGAGAAACGTTCTTCTTAAGTTTTTCTAAAACAGCCATTTGTAACTTGTTCGGAAACCAAACAATCATGTCGCCCGGCAGCCAGACAAAAATTATTGATTAATCTTAGCAAAACCAATAAATTGGTCACCCGTGTTACACATACTACCGATGGTTATGACGAATTTGGCGTGCTTGAGCCTATTAAAACGCACTGAATGTTGTAGCCTGGAAAGCTGACTCTTAATTAGGGCCTATATGGCACTTTTAATTTCTGAGCTCCAAGTCCGAGCGAGGTTTGCGTTTGACGGTGACTTTACGTCGTCTATCATGACGCTCAGGTTTATCCCCCGTCAGACCGACTCAGACAAGTTATTGGAATGATAGAGGGGAGAGCGAGGTTGACTCAGTCGGGATCTAGCGCTAAATCCTCATTATAAACGGTCAAATGTGCTTTGGAGCTATTGCGACGAGTTATCAGTCTTGGTTTAGAAGGCTGCCAACTGATGGAACTACTTGGTCAGGCTGTAGTTATTAACTCTTAATGAGACTTCTGTAATATCTTAACTTGGGCAAGAACTGAGACACCCTGAATGAAGCCGAGTGCTCATGTAGTGGCCCGTGTAGGTCGCGTAGATGGGCTGCTTGAGTCTTTCGGTCACTGCACCCCCGCTCACCTCTGGCCGTCTTGACTTCGTTTTGCCATCGGGACGCAATGGGTGGGACAGAGCGAGGTGCACTCAGTAATCCTGTTTAACTATAAACAGTACGCCGAGTTGTCATGCTATCGACGCACTCTGTACTTGCACTTGGTGCAGCTGTGGTTACGCCTGACCTAGCTGGTCTCTATGATATCACGTATTTTACCTCCCCCTGTGTGACAATCTACGGCAGCAGATCTGGACAGCTTGACTCATCTTCTCCAGCGACGGTGACCAAATATCGAGGGTCCAAGAACCACTTCGATGTCTTGGAGAACTGTGTTGAGCCGAGTCGTGAGTTGAACTCCTCCTCGACACCTCCAGGTGGGCAACTGCGCCGAATCGAGGACAGTATAACTGAGCCCGTGATACCGTGTCTAAACAACTTCAGTCATCCTCCTTGGGTGGCCTGAGGTATCCTCGTGGTACTGTTGCAGCGAGTGCAGAACCTTTCCTTTGAGACGAAGTCGATGTACTTTACTCGAAGAATGGTCCACAGATAGTGGTAGTCAAATACCTTCAGTCTTCCCCCATCTTTCCCGCGCAAAGCCCAACACTCACAACCACAGGGGAAGACTGACCGAACACATGCACGTTACACGCAGAGTTTTTTGACGGTGGAGATGTCGCGTTAGGTCCATGGGCATTTCTTAAGGGTTGAGAAAACTCAGCGAGCCACATTGACTCGGTAGACAATGTCGTCCTTACTGTCCACTGAGCGGCAGCCTCGTTCCGAGGTATTTGAAACTGTCAACTTCTTCAAGTTGGCGGCTATTAATTCCAAAGGGTGTCTTCTCCTACTCAAGGACGCAACACGAAAACAATTTGGTTTTCCCGGCGTTTATAGATAAACCGACCAAAGAAGGGACGCATTAACCCTTGCGCCGCAGGCTGTATATCACCAAAGCTTGGGGGTATCAGGGCGACATCGCGAGTAGCCGGCGTCCAGGTGGGAGTTTCACACCGTCAAAACAATGTAGGGGCCTTCTGAGACTCCAGTCAATGGCGTAGTTAAACAAAATAGACAACAGGACGCCACCTTGTCGAAAGCCAGATCAGATGTCGGACGGTTGGAATGGATCCTTGAGGACCAGAACCCGCACAGTGGTGAGGCGACAGTAGGACTTGATCACGGCGGTTATTTTCTCTGGCACAGTATCTAGTTCCATTATTCACCGGAAGGATTTATAATGGACGGAATCGAACGCAGCGGCGAAGTCAACGAAACAGAGGGTCGTCGGTTTCTGGTAGTCATGGTGGGATTCTGGAATGCGTCTCAGCGTGAATATCTAGTCGGCGCATCCACGCAGTCTGGTTTTAAAGCAGTACAAGAACAGCAGGAGGCGGAGTTTCGAGACGATGTAACACCTAAAAACTCTGACTGCTACTATGTCTGACTTAGAGTTATACTTTCAATAAACGAGCAGTATCAACAACCGCGTTTAGGAAGACACAAGATTAAGAATCGTGCGTCAGAGTATTGGACGGCGTCCAAGTTGCAACAGGAGACCGAGCTTTCTTGCATCTTTTAAAGACGTAAGTTTGCTTCTCTGGCAATCGACCCACTAGAGTGCACTCGGATGCGCCTGCCACCACGTTCAAAAACAGTTAAGGTCGCTGTGCTATAAATAATCATGGAAAGTCGGTGCCAATGCCGAAATCCCCAATAAGGCGGTGGCTGCATACAGGCAACTTTTGTCACGTTACATTGCCATATACTTGCCCGGCCATCGTAGAGATAGTCGACCTGTGGTACCACTGATACGCTGTTAACGACTGCGAATCCGCCGGATCGGCTCACATTGATCCAAACTATGGGATGGGTTTTGTGATATCGAAAATGTGTTGACATAGCAGCCACGTCGCAGCTAAGCTCAAGGGTTCTGTCTCCTCGTCATCAGTTGAATATCAATTATCGGGGTTTTACCTCCGACCTCAATGGGCCATGGATATCGCGACTGGAAATGAACTATCCGTTCATGCCTTGGAACATTACATTTTAGACAGATTATCAGAAGGTATAGTGGAATAAGTAATAAAACAACGCATAGGGGCAAGCAGGAGTACACTTGAGTGCTTTTCCGAGTGGCCGGACCTCAATCAAGTTTCTCATATGTTTACTCCGTTGGTGTGATGACAGACAAGGGGGAGAAAAGGACATCTTAGGATCAGCAGTGCAAGGTCAATCAACTCAGCGGGATCAAGGATAAAAATTTACGGAAATTCTATGAGCAGATAGAGACAAGGGGGGCTTACTTTGAAAAGGCTTGTGTCAAGCACTTCATTGCACACATGTGTGAGGGAAGAGGAACACTTTAGGCGGTGCAGCACGTAGTCGCACAACTCCTCGTTACTGTACACATCCCAGATGCCGTCACAGGCTAGGCAGAGGATTTGATCAGCTTCGGGCATCCGCTCAAGGCAGGTGACGTCAGGTTCTGGGGAGACGAGTTGGTCCGAAGGCGGTGTGCCCTTTACTTGCTTGTAATCGAAATCACCTAGAGCTCTGGAAAAGGAACGAGACGATGGATATGGTCAACACAAGCCTGGCTAGCGAATGTAGGAAAACCTAGCTCTTAGGCAGCTTACGTGCTAACACCAAACGTGTGAGTGACCCGCCTGAGAAGTCCGTTAGTCATAAATTCAAGTGATGTGCAGGTAGAAAATTAGCCTATTACTCCCGAGATCCTGAACTCATGTCCCGCCAGACATAAAACCAACTGATCCCTATGAACTTGCCTCCAACGTTTTCAGGCCAGGATGTGTCCCCAAACCTAGAAAAATTTGGTTTGTGAACGGTTTTCCTGAATGTTAGGGTCGTCTAAGGAGCTTTTCACTTTTAAATTTCCCCAACTGTGCCAGCGTCTGGCGTCAAATCTGTGTCTCATGTTGACAAGAACGCAAACCACTGTGGTAATGGGCACGAGGACAGGGTGAACTGCAAAAAAGAACTCTTGGAAAAGGGGCATGAATTCGGAAAATGTTTGCAAAAAAGTATAGAAAGGCAACCGAATAGGGTTAAATCAGCGGCCCCGAGTACACTTTGCCTACGACGAGGAAAACAAGATTGACGGCATATTCCGTCCTGTTACAATGCTCACCGGCATAGAACCACGTGTGCAGGCCATAGTTTTGACTGGAGCGAAACTAAGCCGGTACTATCCTCCGTCTTGCAACCAGCTATCATAAAGCTCCGCTCCCATATAACGTGGGTACTTCTAAGTAGAGACTGTGGCGTGGGTACTTCGAGCAGTAGAACTTAGCCCACACCATTACGATTGATTCTTGACTTAGGCATCCAATGTTTTAAGCCTGGAGTTTCGGTCACAGTTGATCGACTACATCAGATGAGCCGGTAATTATGTTCCGCCGTTGGAGAATTTAGTACTGCGCTTTACAGTATGCAGAGTGCCGCGACCTCCCAGATTGGTGCCACAACAAAGACAACACCCTTCAGCAGCCCGACCCACATTGACAGCCCTGGAGGCAAAGACACGCCAACATGAACGGTGCCCGACGATGGAGGTTTGCCTGTTTTTGAAACGTCAGGGCATTAAAGCTATAGTGTCCGTGATCATATTTTTACTGACATGGAGAGTCCAGCGAAACTGCTTTGTAGACAGTTTTCGTAGATAAAAAGCTAACACGCGACTGAGTTGACTAAGTTATTAGGGGCGAAATAACTCGCAACATTAGCCAAGATGAAGTCTCCGAAAACACGCTTGACGTTATTTCGAATTGGCTAATATTGCAAAGCTATTTTAAGCAAGGTAGTCGCGCTGCGTGTTAAAGAATTACCACTTACTGCTTACTTCTATATGACAATCAACGAAGCATCGTAGTTATTTGCACCCACTTGCCTCTCTCACAATGCTCTTGAGTAGGACGTTGGCTTAAGTAGTCTCAAGGTACAGTGTCCTCAATACCAAGGCTATATAAGATGGTTGCCACAGAAACTTCAAGTAGAGGGACGCGAAGCCCCATATTTTATTCGGGGTCGGTTTGTCTTTCAAAACTTAAATTTAAAACACCCTTACTATCGTTTAGGTTGAGAAAGATGCGAGATGTTTTGACAATTAGTTTGCTCGTAGAGAACACGTATCATCGTTGTCTCGGTTCGAAGCGGTGGTTTCCACGCAATTTAGATTATTGCAATAGAGACTGGCTGCATGGACCTCATTCCCTCGTCCTCACAGGCATCATATTTCAATGGCAGCGGCTGGCCAAGGCATTCGCCCCACATACACATGTGCTGAAACCACAACAAACGTGAACCAGACTTCATTAACTCGGATCCCATATGTGTCCATTAAGACCATACCAAGAAGTCATTCAGATTTGACCTTTAGTCACTAGAAGCAGGTGGTCCTGTCGGATGCCAGCTTTGTAAGCCAACACGTTCGGGGAGTCTTGATAACCCAAAGACGCATCATATCTACTAAGATAACAGCCCATCTGTCGCAAGTGACGAGCACGACGAATCTTGAAAGAGCCGCAGTGACATGTGGGAGATTTGAATCACGGTGATGAGGACATGCAGTACCTACTTTGTTCGTTCTTCAGATAAACATAATTTCTCATGGCAAAACATGATCAATTCAACAAGATTTGGGTCTGGATGTGGTGATCTGTCCGACATAGCGTCCCACCCACGCGTGTCGCATGCGTTGGTCTCTTGTTCCGTACGACCAGCCTGCAATAACCCGGATCTCTTTTAGATGCACGTTGTCACAAAAACCTCATCAAGCATCCGTTGCGACCCGACCAACCGTTGAAATGTAGTTAACTGTCAGTTAGCAATAGTTCAAGCCGAGATCTTAAGCGTATTCTGATGGTTTCAGTGCCAGTCAGATTTATTACGGAGGGTAACAATCGCGCAGGATGAGCAAACTCCCCTCCACCCTTTGTCATCGTGTACTACCGAGAGTCATGTAGGGAGTGGTGGCTGACGTGGCATAAAACTCCGTCTTACGCATATAGCACACGTGCTTCGGCCCCATCTAAACCGAGCATCACAAAACCCACCTTGCAGGTACACCACCGCGTAAATTAGTGGTCAGACAACCCCTCACAGATTCTCCACACTTAGAAGATCAAAGCACGCTTTTAACGCCTAAGTAGCTCCCATGTGAAATAAATCATTGCATGAAAAATTTACGCAGCATCGGACTCCCCTCTGGTTATTTTGGTCATTTCACGGACGGAGCCACTTCAGTGCAACTGCGCAGACGAACATGTACGACAGGGATGGATTATTACGGAAGCACAAAGACAAGTGACCGGGGAAATGGCGAGAATCTAATGAGAAGACACAGTCAAGCCTTCGAATTCCGCTTAATTTAGACACAAGAGGGAAGTAGCTAGTCCGAATTTCGGAAAAGAACGCGTAAGATACAAAATAGCAAGCTAGGGGGATTAAAAACAGAGACAGCGGTTCAAGACCAAAGCCCATGTTCTAAGTCAACAATCATTCTGTGACATCCTCTGCCGTGAGAGGGTTCAGCTGCAACTAACACAACCGAAGTAAAGCAAGATTTTTTGGCTAGTCTGCGTTACAATAATGCAATACGAGACTTCGTGAGAAAAGAATCGGTGGTACGGATCCACTAAACAGCACGACGATCGAGTCTAAAAGATCACATGCGGAAGATATTGTGCGTACCTAGCTGCAGAAAGTACGACAGAGAAAGCATGGATGTTTTATCGTTCTCTACAAGATATAAACTGCTAAATAACCTTTTTCACGAGGCTAACTGTAACGCATGCTTCATTCGCATAAGTTCCTCAAGAACGAATGTACCTGCGAACGCAACGATCTTACCCTTTTACTAAACGAAGGCGTCAACTGGGTTTATGCAAGTTGGATGGTTGTCGGTAGCGACATAATTCATCAGTATGAATATGGATGGAAACTGGAGTTGAACAATTGGTTAGCGTGAAGCAGCTCTTTAAATACCGGCTGTAGTACAGATTACGGGCGCTTCATTGTCACCTATCGATAGACTGGGCTATAGTCCAAAATTAAAGTTCAACTAGTTTGGGGATGAGCATGGCTGAGTGAAGGCGGCAAATAAGCCAGGAATGGCTATTGCAGTCTCCCTTCATTTGCGGATAACACTTCTCGATCGCTGATTGTCCATCGTTATGCGACTCTTGTGAGAACTCGATATCCGGCGAACCTATGGCGAAATTAATGCCCATATTTCACCCTGAAGCCAGATTGGATTGGTGAACGTGATTTTCATGTGAGTTTGATTTCAGTTGAAAAAACTCCAACCAGACACTAATGACTATACACGGATAACCAAAACAAAAATCTCTTCAGGGACCCGTTCTGATTGAACCGTGCAGACGTTGGGAAACACCTAAAGGGGCCGAAGATCGGTGCGATAAGCGAGCATGATCTTGTCTAGATGAGCCACTTTTAGCTATCGCCATCCAACCCGAATGCACAGCGTTCTCCTAATGTGTACTGAAGATCACTCATTAGTCGCACGAGCCTTAAAACCTCAGCAATGTCAAGTGTGTGTAAAGTTTGATGTGAATTGGTCTATAATTAATGCAGATGTGCCGTACCACGAATTGGCAAAAAGGATAAAATCACGACGGTGGACAGTCAGAAAGACTTGAGGAGGCAGGCACATTTGCAAGCCTTCGGTAAACGTTTAACTAGTGTTTGGCAGATTTTAGCTTTGATTTGCATGCATCAGCACCGGACTGTGAATCAGAGCTTTCAGGTGAAGAACTTCTACTAACAATTTGGGTGTAATGCAATTACGTACCGCGATACAGCCAACGATCCGTTGACGCGGGAGAGAATGACGTGCCCTCCGGCGTTGTTAATCCGCCGTCGTTCGCCTGGAGATGAGGGTTTGTGGTCTTCGGTGGCAAAGGAGGGCGAAGAATTTCGTAGAAGAATACCCCTAGAATCCCCGCAGTTGGCAAAGTATATGTGTTTGGGTGTTACAAAGGCAACTACAGCAGTAGAGCCTGATTTTTCGGAGGGGTTGTCGTGCAGTAGAGATGCGTCAAACGCCAAAAAACCTTCAACAATCGCTGCTTTTATCTCGTCAATGGAGTGCTGCTTCTCAGATGAGGCGACCATATCCTTGAAGACTGGGGTGTCCAAAATATGTCTAAGTAGATTCGATGCGCAATGACTGGAAACTTGAGCACCAGCATGCCCATCAAATACGCCAAAGAAGGACCACGTCGAAAGGGCGCCAGGAAGTTCCAAAACGGCGACGTGTGCGTCCTCCATCTCCACACGCCACCCCTGCATACTACTCATACCGTAGGAAATGCCATTCCCTTTGCCGGAAGCCGTGAGTTTCTTGGTCTCCGGCTTATCCAAAAAGGCGCCCATAAGACTGGTGGCGAAATTTTCTGGGAAAAAAAAGGGAGAACAAAATACCCAGATTTTGGATATGCAAAGGCTTTCGGTTTAGACAATACAACAATGGTGTGAACGACGTGCAGTGGGCGGCTCATAAAATGAGTACGGTAGATTACAAGTCAACTAGTCGGAGCTACGATTATTAATATTATTTGCATGGTGATGATAATGTACCTTGTGGTGCTGGTTTTGTTGACGGTAGTGCCAAAGTTTGTGATTTTGGCACTAGCATGGGTCGCGCTGTGGCATCAAACCTTAAACGAGACTTGTATTCTGTGACAGGGTGGGCTCTCTAAGTGTTTTCTCCCGTTTCTGAGTGAAATTAGTCTGTGTGTAGTGCGCGAGAGAACGAAATACATGGTCTGCCATCGCGCCTAATTGCCAGTCTTGAATACCACAGATGCACGGAGTGGGCCTTCCAGGCAGCATTCAACTAACGTGCATCCAGATGTAAACTGTGCCTTAGAATTCGTGGTACTGAAAATTACTATCTAGACAATCGATTAATACTTGTGAGCCGTGACGACTCTTCAATGTGTCCTCAATAGCAAGTACTGAAAATAAGGATATTCGAGCGTTACTGTTGGTTTAATTAATGTGGAGACCGAGCCCGTCGCACACGCAATGCGGCGGTGCAAGGTTTGCTGGCACGTCCATCTAGTGGAGGAAATACGAAAAACATAAGGCTGATGGTGCGCCCGTTCCCCTTACTAGTTCCTGGTCCACGCGCAGGATGCCAGTGCGCCCCGAGCAGCGGCGGTTCTTTTTAAGCCCGCGAAATGCCACTGATGATGAGGGTGTTGACTGTATAAATGGTAGTTGTTCCATTACGATAATGATGACAACGATGACCAATCACCATATTAGTAAGTCATTGGTCATATTGGGAAAGGAAAACTTGATGATGAGCGACCGTCGCGAACGACATCTACCGAATGCCCAACGCAGTGGGCGCAGCACTATGAATTGCATGTGGTTAGTCTGCACTTTACACTCTCTGATCCCTCATCCATCTGGTAAGACAATGTGAGGATGACCGGAGGCGGACTCAGATACAGCAGCTAACAAGGCAGGACAGTCCGATTACGTGTGCCGCACACATGGTACTCAGAGCAAGTACCAGGTCCTCAGAAGGGCGGTTCGGAACTCGCATGCGTGAGGTTTGTATAAAGGTCGCATAAAGGGGCCACTGAGTATTACTCTAAGTTCTCCAGTCAGTAATTTCGCACGAAAGTCCAGCTGAGTGAACTTTGGAGCCTTTAAAGATGACCGTACTGTTGGCGCCACTGCACGACTTATGACAAATAACAAGAGAACCAGTGACAAAATCCCTTATCAACTGCGCTCTGAGTAAGCCAAAACACTCGAAAAAAATAACTGAATATCACGCTTTACGACAACTCTAAAACAGCTTAAGGCAGAACGGCAGCAAAAGAAGACAGACGCACATATGTGAACAGTGTAGACGACGAATGCAAGTCTAGTAATTTCGAGGAAAAAACGATGTGTGAAGTTGCCCCAACTAATAAGTAAGCGGATTAAAAAAATAACAAGACATCCAGAGCGCACCCCTTACTTACATTTTTTGACGAACTTCGACATGCGCGGGGATTTGTCTACGAGATAAGTATAACCGCGAAAATAAACAATCGATGCTCACACTCGCAGTCGACAACAGGGTTATCTGACTATAATTGTCACTCCTGTGTGGTACAAAACTATTCAGGACAATTGTTTTGATATGATGAGTAATAATTTATCGGGCCTGACGTTTAAACCTGAGTGAAGCACTGACTATTTTAACAAACTAAGGCTCTCATGCCCAGTTTAAAATTACATGGGCTCAGGGTGGCCCTGCGAGTCATCTTCAATAGCCGGTATCCGGTTTTTTCATCTCTTACGTATGGGCTGTTTCGCGATATCCACCTCTCTGTGCACTTCGTAATCTTCGATTCGACCCTCCGGGGCCTCTTCCACAAATTTGCTCGCAAGACTACAGTCATTACCGCCAATAGAAGCGACGAGCGAGTCCCAGGAAGCAGCTCAGAAGAAGGAGAGGACGAAGGGGAAGAAGATGTGATTACCGGAACAGGAAGTTTACTGACCTGACGTTTTGGGTTCTCACCCGAAACCATCAGCAGAGACGGTTGCATGGAAGGGTAGCGGAGGCACAAGAACTGCAGTATATATAGTACTTAAATACCTTGAAGTCTCATGCGCCCTCTAATCAACAGATCTCGCGATCGCCGCTGGAGCCCGTACTTGGGGAGCGCACCGGAAGCCGTCAGCCGCCTTCTCATTCCACTTGTAGGTGGGATTACACACAGGTCGGAAGCATCTATCAGGCGTCAAGTCATGTGGCCGAAAGACCCACTGCCACGGCAGGCAACGTCCGGAATCGTTTACCGGATTTGGTGCAGTCGCGGACAGAGCAACTACGTCGGAGAAACTGGGAGATTACTCCGGACGCGCATGGCGAAGCACGCTGCAGAGGTCAGGGGGGAAAGACGCTAGTTTTCAGGTAGCAGCTCATTCCCCGGAACCTGGCCATATTTTCGAGTTTCAAGCCGCCGAAATCCTTGCAAGAACTGACAAACACGTGAGTCGCGAGCTGCTCGAATCATGGTCATCAGGTCCGCAATCCGTCGACAAGCGCAATGACCTCGCGGTACCATATTCAGTGCTGAGACATTCCCCGAGTAGGGGAATAAATCATGTGGGGAGGGCGCGAGAGATCAGCTAAACGGTGACAGCGGGCCAGATTTCCGAGCAACCACCACGTTGACGTCCAACACGGATGATGAAATTGTGACAATTTACGATTCGGACGCGAACTGACAAACCATTATTGCTATAATTACGATCACCAACGGCGATCACGAGAGCTGCTAATTATAGCATTTATATAGACCCACGGCAACTACGTATTATAAATACTGCAGTTTTTGTGCCTCCACTGCCTTTATCTGCAATCATATCTGATTATGGGTTCGAATGAGAACCCGAAACGTCAGACCAATGAACTTTTTGTTCAAATGATCGCATTTTCTCCTTCCAACTTATTACGGCGTCGTCTACCAATGATTGAGCGTTTCAGTCTTCAAACGGATCTCCTTTACGGGTACCATATTTTCCTACAGTTATTTTTTTGTTGTGTTTTATTCAACTACACACAGTTATGGTGATAAAAGTCATGTCAAACTAAATCCTTTTTCTGTGTAATTCGTAGTTGTATGACATTTAGAACACTACATTGACCAGGTCAATAAGTATGGGCGTGGATCGACGATTGCGAACATGTTTGGCAGCCGAATCTGCAATATTCTAGGCGGCTACGGCCGCTGCGCGGGAGCGCGATTCAGTCGCAGCATACCAGGCCCTATATGCTTAATAGCAAAAACACGGTGGCCTTATTCAACTGCTTGAGGAATTTAGGGTCACTTCTACAAAAAAGCTCCACGGATTAAAACTCGAACCCAGCACCAAACGGTGGATTTAAAAGGCATGTGTAAAGTTTTCGTTAGTGGGGGACGACAATAGAGCAGCGGACATTGTCAGAGACAGCAGTAGCAACAAGAAAAACGTGGTAAACAGTCGAAAGTAGGGCCATAGTGGGTGCTGGCAGCCAAGGCGTGACACTATTACGAATGACCGGGACTCATTTACAATCTAATGAATTTCGGTGGGGAAATGCTCATTTCTTGGGACCTAACTTTGCAATAGCGCGATTCAGCGTAGATATGCATGATTGTGAGATATCAGACCAGTTCATTTTATTGAGGGAAATAGGCACGTGCCTTTGAGTACCTTAACTGTAGCGTGAAACTGTCTGCAAACCGGCATTTAAGACAATTATTATTATCTTCAGAGATGTATCATGATTTGACTACCCTAACAGTAAGAGGAAATTATACAAGTCCTGCCCTGCCTGTTGAACGAGGAGATTTAATGACAGACCGCGGAGGTTATGTAGTGGACAGCCATAGTGACAACGTTGCGCCTCTTGCTAGCGCCTGCACCTACGTCCTAGCGACAGCCTGCTACGGCACGCACGTCTGCCCGGCTTCGATTTGCCTCGTTGCAATCCACTGCCTGCACCACGCATCTGGTCGATACTCTGCCTGCACCATGCGCGGCTTCTCACAACCCTCGCGTGGGCTTGAAGCCAATCTATGCACCAACTATCGCTGATTGGTAAGACAGGCGGAAACAGCCCAGAACACTAGCGTAAACAATTTGCCACGACACTTTTGCAGCGGCGACCTTCGGCGACACACGGCTCGTCGCTCTTGCGGACGCCGCCTGCGCGGCGCCGGACGCATCCTCGTCCGGTTGCCAACTTCCCTTCAGTATTCTGTGCAGAACAAATAAATCACTTTCCTCTTCAACTGGCGTCCCGCTTCTAACAACTTGGGATATGGCCTGAAGTTGTGGCGTACTGAACGTACACCATCACCGCTTGGCCACTACAGTTAGTTGAGGTGCCAAATCCAAAATGCTATGCTGCATTCAGAGCCCTTCACAATTCGGAATGCTTCTGGGATCTCCCGGTCCATTTGCCTATAGCTCAAAGGAGGGAGGTTCAGTTTCGCTGGATGGGTTGTGTCTAGAAGGGAACTTTAACCCCTATAAATTTTGTTGGTCCTTCTAATAATAATAATTTTTGATCATAGACCCATCGGGGTCCCATCAAAGCAAGTAAAAATAAATTTACATGGAATTTTAGACGAGGTAGGCAGAATCTGTTTAAAGTGAATTTATAGTCCGTTAAGAAAAATGATGAGCGAGCGATGAGAAAAACTCCACTTAAAAATTTAAAAATGACTGGATTAATTTTACAGGAGTAAAAACCTCGTTAATAATAATAACAGATGAACGCGGGCAGGACTGGCCTGCATGTGGCGGTATATAACGGATTATACTCGGACATCGTCAGGGCAGAAATAAGTGTCAGCCTTGAGGGGTACGTTTGCGGGTCGGACAGGACTGGTCAGCATGTGGTATTGTGTACGGGATTCAGAACTGAAATCATCAGGGCAGGATTGATACGCCGGATGAGACTATTCGCGTCAAAGGGGCCAGACGAGTGGAACCCAGACGTGATCGGCTAAAGTACGCTTCGAGTTCAGCCGAGGAGTGGGGGAGGGCGGTACGACCAACTACCAGTAGACGGCGAATACTGAGGGTTCCGCCGTGAGCGTCGACAGACCGCATGAGGTATGAATGCGGGAAATGACATCCAAAACCGCGAAAATTTTCGCTATGGGGGAGGAGTGATAGCAGTGGATTTAGAAGCCAATTCAAAACAGGGTTTTATAATGATAGAATTAAGAGTTACCACTTAATCTACCACTAAATCCCGTGAAGACCCTTCTCGAAGTCAAGAAGCTGAGTGTTCGGGAATGAGACCGTTAAGAGTGCCTTTATGCATTCCGGTGTAAGATGTTTGCGGAATTTCGACTTGAATACCAGTAACTTAGGCGATGACCTAATTTCTGGCGGAAGATTACTCCAATGCAAAGCATATTTGGAAGCAAAGAAGAGGAAGCGCTTAGATGTAGTGCAGATAGGCGACGGAATCACCATGGAGAAGTTGCGCGTGGAATAAGACCGATGTTTCGGAGTGAGAGTGTCAAAAAGCGGAGGATTGGAGCTAGAGATGGTGCGAAGAAGGAAGCAAAGGCCAACTTTGAGTCTTCTAAACCACAAAAACTTAATTTTCTACAGCTGACATCTCTGAGTATAAGAAATACCGAACGAAGCTTGAGTAAACAGTTTCCGGGGGAAAACCCTCTGCACATTTTCGATCTTATAGCGGTCACAGGCGTTCGTTAAACCAAAGAAAGGGCAGCAGTATTCGAGGACTGGAGGAGCAAACATTTGATAAAGACTTATCTTCGCTTGCGGAGGGGAAATATGCGATATGAATCCACATATCTGCGCGGCTTTGGCAGAGGTTCTATCTGCATGAGGTGATAAAGCAAGTTTATTTGTATAACTTGGACCTAGGTCCTTTATGGTGAAGCATTCTGAGAGTGGTTTATTCTGAAAAATTATGGGACCAGGAAGTTTGGCAGGACCAAAAGACATGAAACTACACTTGGATGATGAAAACTCCATCCGCTATGTTGAACCCCATCCGCTTAAGCGTAGTAAATCGGCATTAAGTGTTTCAACACAAACGTTTACGTGACTGGGTCCGGGATCTGCGTCATCGTTCTGTTCCAACCGAACGTTGATCTTTACCTGCGAATGTCTTTGATGATGGATTCGAATGAGAATCCGGAACGTCAGGCCAATAAAGTTCTTGTTCCAGTGAACGCATCTTTGTCTTCCGTTGTTGTTTTGTTGTGCCTCCCTCGTTTGTTTCTGCCCAGCAGTCCTGACTGCTTTCACCGTTAGGCGTTTTTTGCATGAGAACTAGAGTCAGACGTACTTGCTGGAGGTCCTTCTACAGGGGCTGTGGATTTATCGTTTTGTTTACGCTGGTCTGTGTATTTCCTTTTATTAGTGCCAGAAATAGAAGTAGTAGCTAGTGGTTCATTTGAAGGACCGGTGTGCAGATTATCGTGTTTGTTGCTAGTGTCTCTTTTCCCTAAGTTTTCGTCTTTCCATCGTTGTCAAATCTGGACATATAAATCAGTTTAGGTTCCGCAGATTTCTCTTTAATTTAGGGTTTTTTAGGACATGTTCAGCTTCGGTCTGTGAGTAGAAGGTTACTAAGACGGGTTTATTTTTGCTTCTAGAGTGAAGTCTTGTGGTGGTAACTATGCGGATGTTTAGGCCACACGAATGTATAAGTTTTTGAATTTATGGTGTTGGGTTAACCGTGTGGAGTATATTGCGGATAATTAAATTGAGTCTGCGTTTTGATTTATCCCGACTTCTGATGAAACTAAATGTGTGCTCGATTCTATTTGTGGTAGGCTCATTAGGCTGTTCGTGAATGGATTTGAGTTTGTTAGTGAGTCGAGAATCGTAAAAATGTGTTCATGTTTCTCGATAAACTGCTGGAAACACACGATGGCCGAAACATCTACTTGGTCGGCCTCAAACTTAACATCGGTCATGGTTAATTGGAGGGAGTGTATAGTGATTTATATTATTTTCGACAGCTAATAAAAATCGGTCGAAAATTGACGCAGAAATCGACCAAATATTACAATTATAACCAAATTTCAACTAATCTCGGATTTGAGGGTTCCGAACGGTTCAGCACAAAAGGGTTGATTTGATGACAAAGTCCTGGACCGTTGATCATTTCAACGGAAATCGAGGCGAACAACCTCCTTCGGTTCGGGAAGATCTGCTGTGACGATTTACGCTTTGAATATCTTATAAAATACCATATTCAGGCCAGCCCAATTCGACCCGCATATTTTCCCTTTCTTGAGCATCAGATTTTCTCCTTAAATTCATACTCATCTAGTTTTTTGTATAAGGAGGTTGTCGCACTGCTCGCTGACCGTTTTTATATGTGACTGTTTATTCTGCAACCGAAAACTGAATAATGTACAGAATCTGTCTACTTACTCTAAAATTCGATTGATAATCTATATTTACTTGCTATGACGAGACCCTCAGGGGTTTTTCAATAAAATTTTTTATTTATTTATAAACATATTCTATTCGTTTCTCTCTATCTACCTATCTGTTTCAGTACGTGTGAGGGGATTTTACCTATCTGATAAGAAGTGGAGATAGGAATTTATTTGATGCTTGTTTCAACGGTTTCTTCACTAAACAAGGTCTCATTAAGAATACAGACTGTTAGTTCGGTTGGTTGGGGAGTGGTTCTTCTCTCATTGTAGTTTTGGTAGGGAAGAAATTGCTAGACACGTTAGCTTCTTACTTTCTCTATATTACTACTTACCCTGAATGGCGATCCTGGCCTTCGGCAAGTACTCATCTTCGTTTGAATTATTAAAGTCGTTTGTCCACGGTGCATTGCAGCTATGGCCTTCCTTGTTTCCACTTTTTTTTTAAATATGTCCTGAATTTCTTTAATTTATCGGAATGTTGATAGATAACCAACAGAGTGGTCATGTACCCGTTTTTTGGACTTCAACTCCCTTTGAAAAAGAATTTGGAATTCTCCGCTCCTTATGTGGGACACCACCTTTACTAGAGTATCGCGAATAGTAAATAGGTTGGAGTATATAAGGTGAACTGTTTTCGTAGGAGTTGTTAGAAGGCAGGGACTTCAGTCAAATGACCTGATATAGCTGCTTATTGTGGTTGTTGAGTGTTCTAGAGTCTCAGTGGGTGTTGACAAGATCGTGTGCTTGGTTTATGCCCAGGGGAAGATGGATATTACTGCTTTATGACTGCTCGCAAAGACTACATTGTCATAATGCCTAGATATAAGCCAGATATCATTTATGAAAAAAGGTCAAGTAAGTTGTTTATTCCCGCGGGTCCATGTACTATTTGTGTCCATTCGTAGAGGGCAATAGAAGATAACAATTCGTCGCGTTCGGTGGGGGCTGGCAGCTTGATACAGTTCATCTCTGGCCAGCTCAAATAATCCTAATTTGTGTTGTGCTCATTTTTATTTATTGACATATTGCCTATCAAACGGTTCAGACCTATTTCATTATTAATGCATTCTGGAGAGGGGTAGAGACATCCTATCAGTATGTTTTGCAAATCTAGGATTGGAGCGAAACATCTTTATTAACCGGGAATTTATTCGAAACATCAAAAACACTTTGCTCAAGGGTGACATTTATGTAAATCAGATATACTCCATTGCGTTTTTTAAGTTCCACTGTCGATAGAAACTATAACTTATCAAATGCGGCAAAGCCTTCCTTATTAATTCACTTGTCTTCAACATAAGTTCTAGGTTGGAGCATTTTGAGGACTATAGACGTTCCATTGGCTCAAGCGAGGCTAAGGACAATGGGCATAGAAGAGACAGGTTGTGGGGAAAATGGCTTCCATAAATGTTTCATTTGCTTGTCGGACTAGAAGGAAAGCGTTTTTAAATTGTTGAAAAGCATGTTGGTGTAAAGGGTGGCTTCACTAAAGTCGGCGACAGAGTGGCTAACCAGATCTCGAAAGCCATATAGACCTTTTGTCGGCTGCAGAAAGCAGTATGCATCGCCACGGTCGGCACTTCAACACCGAACTCAAGTACAAAGCCGTCGTCTTGATGACACTGAAGTGGTAAGCGGAGAACTGGACAGTCTACAAGAAACAAGCGCAGACGCTCAGTCACTTTTATCTCCATTCTATCCGGAGAATCATGAAACTGAGGCAGCAGGACAGGCTCGCGGACACGGAGATTTTAGAACGAACCATAGTTGTCAGCATCCGCGCATGCTGAGGCGAATATAGCTCCGATGGGGCAGTCACCTCATGAGAATGGGTGATGAGCGACTACGCAAATGGATCTGCTTGGGAGTTGTTGATATTGATGCTCACCTGCAGGGAGGTCGAACACAACACTACAATGAAACCTTTAAGAATACTTCGAAGCACTTACAAATCGACCCGGACACCTGGGAAGACCTTGCACAGGACCGCTTGTCCTGGAGAAGGGCACTCAAAACTGCAGCGGCAATTTGTGAAGCCAATCGGTTAACCACTGCCATGGCCAAAAGAACGACTCACAAGTCTCAGGAATCCCCGATCCACACCTGCAAAACTCAATTCTTTCCGAAATGTCCACACTGCCAACGAGCTTTCAGCGCACAAATTAGTCTCGTCGAACGTCCCAGGTCCACTGTAAAAACAAGCAAGCCATCTCAACTGCGGCTCCCGCAACCGCCCGTCGTCGTCATCTCCACATCAACCTCCACGTCGTCGGAACAACAACCTCCCTCACAATCGATAATCAGACTTCCAATGCCCCGTTACCGTCGACCACCGAAACCTCCGTCTCCCCCGTAACAGAGGCTGGAAAATCAGTGCCTGGGACACCAATGCACATCCGCCACCACTTCCTCGACTGCCCGCCTAGCCCTTCGAATTTCACTCACATGCGTGTCCATGAAGATCTACGGAAAGTCATCATAGACTAGGCCATACGCCACACATTTTCCCATCAGCGCATGCACAACTCATGAACACCTCCAACATCACACAGCGCAGGCATCTTGCATGTAAGTGCGGAGTGTGTTCTTTAACTCCTGCATGTGGGTCCTCTGCTACACGTGAAGTCCGAGCTATCTATCTCTTTAACATAAAATCCTGACGTGCGTGTATGGCTGCCGGGTTGCGTGTGTGGTTCGCGTATACGGGCCGTTCCCAGTTTTGTCAGGCACTTCCCCCAGCCTCAACATCGGCTGGTTACTCGGCCTGGGAATCTGAGCGATGCATGAGAAAGGGCAGAGAGAATAATGTCGGCTCTCAGCTGACGCGCTTAAGACTATCACGGTGTGCTAAAAGTGCGACTTGGATGGCTGCCAACGACCGATTCCACTTATGCCATGCTGTCAACCCAGTGTTTGTTTGTGCGTTCAGCAGTCGACCGCTGGCCTGAAGGTAAAACTTCGGTGGCTTCTTCTCGCACATATGAGATCCATGCCGCTGCTGCCTTATGTGTGCGTTTAAGGGGCCAATTCATGCATATTGCTCCGTGCTGTTCCATTTTTTCTTGAATGAAGTTCTGACCGGTTGTACATGGTGTGATAGGGGGCTGGTGGCATGCCTGGGTACGCAATTTCGCTGTACCAGTCACTTGTGCCCTCTCCCACATCTGGTCTTCCTGACTCTTGCGAATTTGAGGAAGACGCCCGGGAAACCATACGTGAAAAGGTGCATCCAAAAAGCTAACCAAAGCCAATTTTAATTACGAAAAAGTTTAAGACACGGCAAAGTGACTTGGGAACCATTAGAACAGAGTAGTGACAAAGTTTGAGTACGCGACGTCGTAGATCAAAACTTATTGCAGTGTGTAACAAATCCGTAAAATGAGCGGCGAACACTGAAATAAGAAATATGCATATGCATGCGGACCTTATTGTTTGATGAGATTAAGCCATTTGGACTCAAAATAAACTGGGACGCTTATGCTATGTGCTAACAAATTCCACACATCAGGGGTAGAATACTGTAATATGGGAGTGCTGATGTGTCCCAGATACCCCTGAAATTTGCAATTAAAATTTTTAGTTGTTTTGCACGTTTTTCAGCTGTGAGGGATGCCAATTTTGTAAGTCCTTTTGAGCAGTTCTTTCACTAACGATTGTCTTCGGTTTTTCCGTGTAGTTCTTCTAAGATACGATCGTCTCCTTTTTGTTGTTCCTCTTCGAGAGGTATACCACATCCCCTTCACTGTTGTATGCAGTTCTCACTGTCTTTTTTGTTCTTTGAACCGTCATCCACTCCCCCAAATAACAGTTTCGGAGCCCAACTGAGCACGAGGGAATAATTCTACGCTCCAACTGGGACGATTTCGACTTGGATACCATTCCACAGTTACAGTCTCTGACATTGATACTGGAACCGTACGTACATACTAACTTTGTGCATTTTTGGAATATTTTTTCACGCATCGAAATTCGCCTGGAACCTGGATTAAGTGCAATTTGTTTATCAGCACGGTCCAACTGACAACGCAACTGGCTACGCAACCGATTCACGGTATACAGCCTAGAAAACCAATCGCTCAAAATTCTTCAAGGTCTGCAGTTATTCAAGTCCCACGAGATCTAGAAAGGGCTAAGTCGCTTCTGATTAAATTCAACAAAATTTATCGGATTTTAAGTATTTTTTGCTTATTGAGTTTTGAATACTCACTTTAATTCATCATATATAAGCCGACGTATTCGTTATAACATCGAAAGCGAAATTATACATATTATGTCACGTCGAAGTTTATGGATTCTCAGCAGGCTAACTGTAGTAGTACGGCCAGCGACGGCACCTCTTTGGAAGATAAGTCCGGTGAGTTGTCCTTCGCATCCAGACCTTGTGCTCGCTCTACCTTCGCCTCCAGCCAACGACCAGCAAAGCGTGCAAAAAGCGTAAATACCGCAAAAAGTGTGAGGTACGAAGACGAGCCTTGTGCTGGGTGCGCAGATATTCAAATCAAAGTAGAACAACTGGAAAAGGAGCTTGCTGATTTAAGGACGCTCGTGAAACAGACCGTGGTCGGCCAGAACGTGTCCAGTGTTAGAATCCCAAAAACGAAGAGCAAAACGCAAAAAACGCGAAAAAATATCTCCTCGGGGGAATCTTCAAACACGAGTAGCAACTCAACAGCCAAAACCGCAGACGCCGGTAACAGCAGGACAATGAAAACGAAGCCGCCGATAAAGGGAGACTCGATTCCCACGCACGATGTCTTAAGCGATGTCGCAAAAAAATTACCTATCGCGGAATCCATCTCACCTAAGCCTCTTGCTGTAAATGATGGGATTTCTGTTCTGCCTGGAGACGATATACCTGGGTCATCCAGTCTACTGTTGCCCTCTTATTCTGGCAACCACCCCGAGCGCACTACAGAGCACGTGTCTGAATGTGAAGACATAAACCAGTGGGTAGAGGGAAACGCCATGACAGGATTCTGAAGTCCCAGCCAGCCCTGATGGGTTGCTCGGGACAGTCGGTAGACAGTAAAAGTGTGCGTCCAAGCGATGACTCCGTAAATCGTCCTCGCCCACATGCAGCGCATTCACCGGAAAGACAGAGTAAGGAGGACCATGCTCGCCAGCAGTGTCTGGTTATTCAGGGTTTGTCAGAATCGAATGCAGTCAGACCTGAAGACCGTGTCTCAGAGGACCTTGCTTCTTTTCATGGTCTGCTAAACCATTTACTGCCGGCAGACATGGAAATAAAGGTTCTGAAAGCATTCCGGATAGGAAAAAGGAGTGAAGACAGGACAGTAGCAAAACCACCTCGCCCTCTCAAAATTATGCTGGAGAACAAAGAGCAAATCAAGTTTATCCTCTCTAAAAAAACCGATTTCAGAAACACACAAAAACAGGTTTTTTTTCAACTGGACTATTCACCAGCGGAACGGTTGAAACGCCGGGAACTTGTCTTGGAGTTAAAGTCAAGACTGAAGGATGGCGAACACAATCTGGCCATCTTCAAGGGGAAGGTAGTTCGGAAATATATGCCGTTTCAGTGGAACCAGCCTGTAATACTACGAACGACGACAGCTACTTAGCTAAAACATACACCTTCGTTGAACCATCTGATAAAGGCGCCAACACGAGTGAGCCCGTAGCGTCCAGTGATCTGACTGAAACAAGGCTTGTAAATGGGACCAATCAGGTAACGGAAGAGCCTAGAGAACACGACGTCCGCGATAACGGAGTAATGCTCACAGCAGTAACAAATGCAACGGGAAATTCGGCTGGTGCTAAACTGAGGAGCTTGTACACGAATGCCCAAAGCCTCATATCGAAACTAGACGAACTAAAACTTTGCCTTGTTGAGCTGTCTCCAGATGTTTTAGCAGTAACTGAGACCTGGCTGTCCGGGAATATTAGCGATAACGAAGTAGCCTTGCCTGGATACCAAATTTATCGGAGGGACAGGGAACATCGTCAGGGTGGTGGTATCGTTGTGTATGTGAATAACGGTCTGAAAGTGTCTGATAACACCACCAAGTTTGCGTGCAGTACGGAAGCTGTCTGGTTGACCATCAAGGCTACCGGTTCCCCGTGTCTCGATGTCCTCACTGTCTACCGACCACCTAGGACAGACCGAATCGCCGACGCTCAACTCTTGGAGCAGTTGGAGAAATTTTCCAGTCGACCTAGCATCATGATCATGGGCGACTTCAACGCACCAGGAACAAACTGGAATACCCTCCAAGCGTCAGGTCCAAAATCGGCATTCGATTACCGCCTGTTGAGCAAAACATTAAATGCGTGCCTCACACAACATGTAATGTTCCCAACGAGAACACGTGAAGGACAAAGGCCAAACTGCCTGGATCTGGTCTTTACGAAAACACCAGACAGCATAGACGAGATCACCTCCATGCCGCCCCTTGGCCGAAGTGACCACGTAGTGCTTATGTGGGATTATTCGTTATTCTCCATTTCACACACTCCAGACCACAAAAGGCGTAATGTTTGGCGGGGCGATTTCAATCAGATGAGGGCAGACTTATCCGGTCTTGACTGGGGCTCATTGTTTGCGGGAAGTGCCAACGATTACTGGGAGCTGTTCAAGAATATCCTTCTGCAGCTCATCAACAACCACTGCCCACTGACTAGTGTAAGACTGAACAAACGCCTTGGGTGGCTAAATAGCAACCTTAAGAAAGAAATCAACAGGAAGCACAAATTGTGGAGAAAATACTGCGTCACTAGACAAGCTGAATGCTTCAACACGTACAAGACACAGAGGAACAAACTGAGGAAGCTGATAATGCAGACGCGGCGGGAATTCGAGAAAAACTTGCTACAAAAAGCAACGCAGAACCCAAAATTGCTCTACAGCTACCTCCGACGAACTACAAGGAACAGGCATCAAATCCGCTTGATAAAGACTACTGATGGCGTTGAGATCGCTGATTGTAGGGATAAAGCTGCGTATTTTTCACGGTTTTTCCAATCAGTCTACACAAACGAGGCAAGGTTCCTTCCTCCCTCCACAGAAGAACTGCCGACTCCAGGCGTCAGTGATATACTCTTCTCAGAAGGCATTGTCCGAAGAGAATTAGAGGCACTGAACGAATCGAAGTCGCCAGGACCAGACACGATTCCATCCAAGCTTCTGAAGGAACTTGCCCGTGAGCTCTCTGTGCCTTTGTCGATGCACTTTCAAACGTCATTTGATACTGGAACACTTCCTATCGATTGGAAGCTGGCGCATATTACTCCGCTACACAAAGGAGGTAACAGGGCAGCGACGACAAATTACCGGCCCATAAGCTTGACATGCATTCTCTGCAAAGTTATGGAAAGGATCATAAAGTGTGAACTAATGCAATTCTTGGAAGTTCACGGCCTGCTATCGAAATGCCAGCATGGGTTCCGAAAAGGAAGATCCTGCACAACAAACCTGCTGCAATCTCTCCAGAGCTGGACCCAAGCTCTCGACGACAGGCACGCGGTCCACATAGCCTTCATCGACTTCCAGAAGGCGTTCGACACTGTGCCACACCAAAGGCTCTTACATAAGCTGAAAAAATAGGGATCGGTGGCAACTTCCTTAAGTGGATCGAAAACTTCCTTGTGGGTCGACACCAGGTTGTGTGCGTCGGTCGGGGAAAATCAGACCCTGCTATGGTCGAGAGTGGTGTCCCCCAGGGTTCAGTACTGGAACCCATTTTGTTCCTTATCTACGTGGACGATGCCGCAAGAGATTTAGACTGTGAAGTAGCAATGTCTGCGGATGACATGAAGATATGGAGTGTAATTCGGTGTCCTGCCGATGAAGACAGACTGCAGATGAACCTGAATCGGTTGGAGGAGTGGTCAAACCGTTGGCTCCTGCGGTTCAAAGTTGCCAAATGTAGCATACTTCGCCTAGGCAACACAGCCAGATCCGCCAGCACAAGAAACTACTTTCTGGGCGGTGCAGCCCTACAAGAGGTCGAAGCCCAAAGGGACCTCGATGTGCTGACGACGAGTTCCCTAAAACCACCCGCCCACTGTTCGAGGGTGGCAAAAAGCGCAATGTCCGTACTGTACGCCATCAAGCGTGCGTTTATGGACTTTGACGAAGAAGCTTTCTCTAAGACATTCGGAACATTCGTCCGGCCGCATTTAGAGTACGGCATACAAGCTTGGAGGCCGTGGGCTGTTGTGGATCAAAACTGCCTCGAAAGAGTCCAGAGGAGAGCCACGAAGATGGTCAGGGGTCACAGCTCCTTTCCTTATGCGACCCGCCTAGTAAATCTGAACCTCTTTCCTTTGAGTTACAGGCAACTTCGCGGAGATCTCTTGCAAGCCTTCCGCATTGTAAAGGGGTTGGATTGCAGTCTGGCCTTCGAGGACTTTTTTGAATTTGCTACCACGACCAACCTCCGAGGTAACCCGTTAAAACTGCGCACTCAGCAGGCACGGCTGGATGTGCGGAAGTTCTCCTTCTCGGTTCGGGTGGTCAAACCGTGGAATGAGCTTCCCGCAGATGTTGTGATGTCACCATCTATACAAAGTTTTAAGAAGAATCTGGACATATTTATGTTCCGAAATGACCAAGAGCGATGAGAAGTCGAGCTCACCCCCTGTAACTCCTTTTCAGTTTGTCCCACCATTATGGTCTTGTTCGAAGTATTTCAGCCCAGAACATTTATCTGTACACCACACAGTTTTTACGTTGCAAATAGGGTACTCAAAGGCTTACGCCTATTTCCCTCAATAAACTGAACTGAACTGAACTGAAATTCTCTAAATGGCTTGTGTTAACACTACTCTGTGTTCGGTCTACATTCAGTTCTTATCCAGAACTGTCGTCTAATAGGCGTTGCAATTCTTAGGATCTGTGCAAAAACAATTGCTTCCTTAACTTTGAAAATCGCATTTATTCATGACAGTTAGAGCGAGTCAACAGTCTATGCTTTATTCTTACCGGGCAATTCGGCAGCATTTTAAAATTTCATCGATCATGGGCGAGGATAGCGCTCCGCCTGCTGTTACGAGGTTGGATATAGTTTAATTCCGTTTCAAACCGTCGACGGGCATCTACCATTGTTCGCTAATGCGTGCCGAGGGAAAACTAATACGTACTGTAATGCACATATATCATAGCAATCACTGTGCGACTGCCTGACGGAGCTCTAGACTAGACCCGAGTGTACAACGGAACAAATAAGCCCCGTAACTTGGTGGGCGAACGCATTTCCACCATAATTGATGTATCCGATCTCAACCCCAAGGCAACGACCCGTGACACAATGGCAGAGACGTTTAGGAAAAAGAGGGGTCTCGTCCCTGATAGTATTTAGTCGCCCAGGGCTAGACACTTGCTAGCCCGTTTGACTTGCGGGCTAGTGCAGGGCTGCCAACCGAACTGGCTAACAGTGCTCGATCTGTGCGAGGAAGGGAGCTTTTCTACTGCGCCCCCTCCTTGATGCTCACCCGAGTGCATTTTGAACGTCACGCCTGGGGGTCCCTTTGCGCGTACGCTCGCATGCAAGGTGCATGCACACACTTTGTCCGGAATTTAGGCCCCTGTCTGGCGACTTAAATCGCCTCAAGCTAAAACACCCTCAACTCGCCCGAGAAGGCGCGTCAACCTACTGTCCCCGTGTGGGCAATGTCCGCTAGGATTGCTGAAGAAATCCAATCGATCGCAACACTATCCTGCGACCGGGCTAGCCCTGGACAAGTAGAATACTATCAGGGGTGACTTAGTTTTTCTTGCCTCGTATCTTTGTCGGCGTTTCTGGCTTTGGGAGTAGAGAATATTCTTTAGTTCTAAGGCGGTTGCGTTAATTGGCGGAAAAAGATTTCCACTGCATTTTCTATTTTAATTGACTGAAAGTGCTACACATTTCGTCCTTCGGTGGTCATGTTGGTGTTGCCTCTTGCCTGATTGTACCAGCGAATTGTTGAGCGTATATTACCGGGTTCCAAACTCTTGTTTAGATAGTAGAGCATTGCGAAATAGCGCTCCAAAGTATCCCCTTTTCAAATACCCGGACCATTAGCGGTCCGTTTTTGTAAACATATTTTCCTCTTCGTCCCTGTCTTTTGATCTCGCGAAATTTGACAGAATGAAACCTATTTTATGGGTTTTTAGTGCAGTATTTTCTGTCACCGTAATTTGTAGAAAAGTGTATTTGCGGTACTGAGTCAACTCGTTATCGTTTCTGGCTCAAATAATGCACAGACTAATCTTCGTACAAGGCCTAAAACCAATCAAATATGACAAGGACTTTAATAAGGGTGGTACTTTTAGTTATATTTGGGGAGATGTTAGTATTCCGTTATGTCTGAACGAGAGGCTTCCATACCTGACCCTGGTGGCGTGCATCGATCGACTACGAAACTTGCTGTAAAAGCCTTCTAGCAGGAAAACGTATGCTTGCCAATTAAGAAACGCTATAAGTAAAGAGGGGAAACAAGAGTGATTGTGTCTTGTTCGCCATCATCAACAGACGATACTTCAGCTCTAGGCCCTGACTTACTCGAGATTTAAATCCAGACCAGCCAGCCATCGGGTATTTCAGTCTACTTCTTTCCTAAAACCCATATTTAGTGCAATTCCTTGACTTTATAAAATTTTGTGCTTCATTTAGTTCCCATTTTCACTCAGAAGCATTTCATGAATGCAAACTTCACAGTGAGAAGTACGCATCACGCATAGCATGAAATTGGTCGTACACGTGTGTGCGCATGGCCCGATATAGCTCTTCAAGCTTTATTAGATTTGCACTTTCACCGACTATCCCAAACGTCTTTTTTTTTCCTATAGTAATGGGGATAAGCCAGAGGATGTGCCAGGTCCTCTGCTCTACCCACATGACACTATTTACGGCGAGGCCGGCTACCTAAATCTTGTGCGTCGCGTGTTGAAAGAAGGCGTCCTGCGGGAGGACAGGACCGGTACTGGCACGTGGTCCATCTTCGGACCTCAGATGCGCTTCGATCTTCGCTCCGGTGACTTCCCGCTCCTCACAACTAAGCAGGTACATGACTTTCTCAGGCCAGCGTTAACTTTCCATCTGTACATTAGTCATTGTTGATCTAACTTGGAATTTGATACTTTCAGGTCGTCACAACGGTCTGCGCTGCCGCATTAGGCCCCAAATTTGACCACACAAGTGTGCGACATGCGTTAGATGAAGGCTTTATACCACATCAGTCATTGTGTTTAGTCTTACCTCTGGTCGACCTCACTCGAACTTGGCACTGACACATAATGGAAGAGGGAGGAATATGAGACCGACCTAGCGCCCTTCTTAATTGCCGTACTACGACCCACGTCCAAAAAGTCGTGAATTGGCACGTTACCTACCTACAAATTGGCTTGATCCTCCGCCTGAACCGGAGTCAGACTGCAGTGGTTCCCTCTTAGTGTGATATTTTTAAGTACTCTTACTGAAGACGAACGCAGGCCTTTGAAGTATAACTCGTGGAGGGGCCAGAACGCGCGTGGCATTCTTAGCCAGGGCTCGCCGTATCAGTGAAGCACCTGTACGTCTCTCCAGCCGTCATGACATAATCTTCCCATTGGAACGGATGGTCATAGGAAGAGATATTCACGTGAACGCTACACAAGCCAGTCCGCTGTCCCGGCCCAAAACCTGATGGAAACTTATATCTGGCCGAAAGTAGCAGCAGTTGTGTATCTCGGGGAAGGAGACACGACCGCTGGGACAAGAGTTCTACTAAATTACGTTTCGGATTTTCTCTCGAGTCCATCATCAGATACATAGTCAGATAATGTTAGTGGATTGCACAGGTGTTGCAACACATATGAGACGTTGCTAGGCCGCGCCAGCCGTCGTCCCTGTTTTCTTGGAGTTTAAGATCGTGGTTATTGTGTGGTGGGGACCGGGGGCTGTGGAGTGCCCACACTAACACCACACATTCACCCACGCATTGGCCTGGTCAGTGAACTTCGAATCCATCGCACAGAGACTGGCGAATTGGTTTCCTTGTGTACCAGCATACTTGACGCAATCGCTCCAACTGCCCTCGTTGCCCTCGCGCATTCAGCCACCGCATGGGCCACTTCGGTCACATTCTCATTCATGAAAACCCGCGATAGAACACTGTTGGCTATACCACACCATCAAATTTTCTCACCGACACCTACAACGCTCATTAACACCACCTATTATCACAACACAATCATGTAATTGGTACTTCTAACATAAGTGGGGAGTGTGTTTCTCGGCACCTTTCATGTGGCTCCTCTGCTAAATGGGTGATTCGAGCCTGAAACTTTCACGGTTTGCCAAGCGCCGTGGCCTGGAAGGTTTCCAACTAACGCTTCAACTCAGTTCACGCAATTAACCTAGTTGTGTGTGTGTGTGTTAATGTGTTGAGAGAATGACTGGTGGACTGAGTCAAGTTGCAATGGCTCCTTCTTAACATGACCTCCGGCAATGTCACGCATTTGAGATGCATGTCGCTCATCCCTTTTTGTGTAAAATCCTGGTACTTGTGTTTGGGGGGCCAGACCATGTTTGTCACGCGCAGCCAAGGCCACTTCCTATGTCGGGCGCTGCACCCATTCCCCGCACTAGACAACAAACCGGCTCAGACAGTGGACTGGTGACCGGGAGTAGGAAGAGAGCGTTAGGTTGTCGGTCTCAGCTCATATTCCTCTCAATTAACATCCTGACGCGCATGAAGCTATCACGGTGTGCTAAAAACGTGGCTTGAAAGGTTGTCGATTGACGGGATAACTTGGATCTCGTAGTCGGCTGGGTGTGTGTTTGTGTGGAGCGGCCGACTGGTGGTCTGAGAATCAGGCTGCAACAGCTCCCTCTTAATGTGGCTTTTATAGCACATCCATATAGTGCGATCCGAGTCAGGTGTGGCCGCACGCCTAGGGGCGGCTTCGATCGCTGCAGCCACCTGCGCCCTCTCTCGTCTGCGGTCTTCGTGACAATGTCTTGACACCCGGCCCAGGTGGGGGAGGAGGGAGTGCGGTAGATGCTGTGAAAGTCTACTATCACTATAAATGTAATCACACGCAAGTCATCCATTTTCCTCTCACTGCTGTGGAAAACACGGTGGACTTCGTCGGTCTTGACGGTCGGACATGATTATCACAATTTGCAACTCCCAATGGCATCACGGTCCGACTGACCTGGTCTTGCGGTATGCAGTTGCAACGGCGATCGTGTCTCCCTCCACGCGACTACTCCCTGAAACTCGCCTCTCCGCATGTATTAGTTCTCTATCACCGACAGAAGAAAATATGAGTGTCCTCGAACGTAAGTGAGACGGGATCTAAGGAACTGGAAGTTTATTGCTCTAACTCTTCTATAGCCTCCGTCGTCGGAGGATACAGCGACGTCCCACTTCGTAGAATTTAATGGGGTTTACGGCCGCACTGACTGCTTACCAAAGACCGTCCGCGCAGTTGTGCTCTCGCGTGATACATCGGCCGTAGTTGGTGATCTGCGGTCGGGTGAGGAGGGGATGACTACCACTGAAGTTCACTGCCACGCCGTTACCCGCGTGGCATTGCTCCCGCGTCCCCATACTACTCACCTTAACTTCAGCGGCTCCGTCGGTCGGGGTATGCCCGCGAGACCTGGCACGCCTAATGGGGGAATTACGTAAGGATTACTGGATGTCGTGCTTGTATGCCGGGTTTCCAGTGTCTCTCAGACTTTTCGTCAGTTATTTCGAAACCCTCGAAGATGGCCATGTACGCAGTTGTAGCTGCACGGTATCCTGTCACCAGCGACAAAGGGTCTATCTTTCTCGCCGCCTCAGGATGTTCTATCATGCGTAATTACATTTGTCTACCGGCGTCCCCGGTCAAGTCTATTGCAAAATTAGTGCTTGTATACAGTCATATCAGATCCACAGTCAGTGTCGAATGGTCTGATTAGATCATTAAAATGGACATTTTTGAATCCTCAGTCCCTGGGGGCCACCCAGTTGCCGTTTACCCTCGTGCTTGTGGAAGTTGCTTATATTTGGTGTTGCCCTGTCCTCATTTTTCAGACGTTCTTCCGTGGTATTCTCGAGGAACTGCTCTGGTTTATCCGAGGCTCAACTGACTCGAAAGAACTTGCTGAGAAAAAGGTCTTCTTCTGGGATGCCAACGGATCTCGTGCATTCCTGGACCAGCTGGGATTCGTTGATCGAGAAGAAGGTGCCGGCACCATGACATTGCCATTTTCCATCTCCATTTGATGTCTTTACGCTACTCTCCCTGATGTCCGGCATCCCTTTCTTTTGCTGGGATGTCTGTTTATTCCTCATATGGCAGTACTCGTAGAGTGGGCAATGCCAGATGACACTGTTCCATTCTCAACCAAGAACGCGCACGATTGATGCGCATTCGCTACTGTTACTTCATTGCTTCAGACGGTCGACTCCTGTACGGATTCGAGGACTCGGACGAATCCACTGTTTCTGCGATCGCGTACTCATCTTCGCGGTTGCCGACGTGTCTAATCCTCAGTCGCTCATCCACATCGTCCTCCTTTTTGTGACCATATTGGCCGGAAAACTAGCCGAACTTGCAGGATAGCAGATTATGTTTACTGGCGTCTTGCTCACAGAAATCTGCCCCAGCATGTAGCCATCACGCGGGCCAGCTAAGAACCGTGACACGGGCCCCGCTGGATTTTGCCGCTGCATAACTCGGCTAAAGATGGTCGTACTTGACCCAAATACTTGTTAAAAAATTGGAGCCGACAAGTCTGTTACCAATTTCACTCATTAATTTAAAGCATAATACCGTGTGGTCGAAAAGCATCGGCATATAATTGCAGCCCAATTACTATCTGTTTTGAGCCATTCACAACCGTTTTTTTTTAAATATAGATTGACACCGTTCCACCAAATATAACGAAATGTATTTAGGTAGTTGAAGTAGGCAAGAACAGCAGGATTTATTGGCACCAAAAAATTTCGCGACTGCTCTTCAGCTACGTACCGGGGACAAAATGCTTCAAATATTTAGGTAGTCTCGGGGTGCTGCCCTAAAAAGGAGGGCGAGGATCGCTCATTCATCAGGTGTTCATGGTACAAACTGCTCACTAAACTTTTTAGTCGTCACCCGAGATAGCTGGTTTCCACTCGACAGAGAGGGTGTTACACAGACTGACGAAGGACGGAATAGTGCGACGTATGGAACTTGCGCCCCAAGCCTGTTCGATGGAATTGTGACCTAGAGGTCGACGTGATCGGATACCAACTCCTTTCTTAAATGTTTAGACAGACTTTGTCCGATGCAGCGGAGTTTTGCTGATCGGGGGGAGGTGATAAATCCTGACATGCCCCTGCAACTAGGGCCAGACTACAATGACCCTTTTCTTAATGCGACCTCTGTGGCAGCCCGCACGCATATGGGCACAGAGTCCTTGTGCGACAACACGTTTAACGGCGACTTCTCGTCGCGTCAGTCTCATCCTCAGTCCTCATGACTCGGCCAGGCCAGGTAGATGTAAGCCTACCCAGCCGGGGTCAAACGTTTATTTCCTCAACTAAAACAGTCAATCGCACTTTGAAGCCCCCACGGTTTGGAGGAGTTTCCAAGTGTTGGGGTACCTCGGCCCTTCTCTGGGACGGGGGTCAGACTGCAATGGCACCATAATGTGGCCTTTATGACACTCGCTTCTATGAGAGCTGACCCCACTCATTGGAGCCTGGTGCGTGTGGGGGCGGGACTGGGTGGACCGATTAACCACTCTGCCCACATCCATCTCTTGTCGTCTTGCCACTAGAACACAGTGAATGTGAGAGGTGGAGGTAAGCGGGGTGCCGCGCAAGTCCGCATCATCACAGACAAGTTTGCAAACAAGTCAGAACTACGCCCACCTCGTGGTGCAGCGGTTGAACTGGTCGTGTGATAGTCTAACCACAGACTAACTCCAATAAACCCTGCAAATCCTTTTACTGACATTATCCGTCCATTTATGACTGTTAACCACAGTCCTTTCTTGGCATGACTGTTTCACATATAGGTGACTTGGGTCCAGTCTACGGGTTCCAGTGGAGACACGCCGGTGCCGAATACATCGACTGCAAGCATGACTACGCGGGGCAGGGCGTGGACCAACTCGCTGACGTTATCAAGCGTATCAAGGAGAGGCCGTGGGACCGCCGCCTCCTGATCGTGGCATGGAATGCAAGAGGTCAGTTCTTGGTTTATATCCTTCACGCCCGTGTATATTATTGTCTTCCAGGCGGACCGGCTTTTCCGGTGTCGTTGCACCAGCTTATCGACCAGATTATCTCATAGCAACCGCCTGTGGGAGGACCTTCTAGGCAGTCGTGTTGCACTGACGTAGTCGACACACTTCCCATTTATATTTAAGACCAGGTGCTTATCACAACAACACCGCTCAGAGTTGTGCCTTGTAAACCTTGTCTCTCATCATCAACGAAATATTTTCTCGTGACCCGCTTCTACTGAGGGGCCTGGGCCCATTGTGATGTTTGATTGGTGGGACCACTATCACTAGTTTTTTTCGGCACGATACTTGATACGTCCAATATCATGACACACATTTACGTGGAAACTGACCCACCTCATTAACTGTTGCTCCTAAACCCCACTCTTTCCAACCGTTTTTTTTTGTACAACTATTAATCAAGGGCTGAAAGTTATATGCTGGTCGTATTAACTATTCGTGCTGCTTTTTTGACAGTTTGGCTGACTGATGTGCCAATGGGGAAACATTAACTCGAAAACCAACTACACAGCAACCAAAACATGCTCCACAGTGCGAATGCTAAGTCCATGTGGGAAATTAGTGGGTGGCATTGTGCTCCTAAACGGGCCACGTGGTAAATGCGCTGGACCAGCACGGGGCTCTGATCAGAGTCGGACAGGCGTTATTGGGAATTATCACCAGACCTAACTGCGGGCCTTTGTTACACCAATTGGGATCCTAACCGTCCCTCCATGTTTGTTGTTTAAAATCCTGATCATGTGTTTGTTGTGGATCAGGGCGTATGGTGGTACGCCTAAGTGCGGGTTTGCGCCGCGCAAGTCATCTGCGGCCGCCCACCTCCGGACTGCTCGACTCTGTTTTAACACCGGGTCCAAGTGGGAGAGGAGAGAGTGGTGCGGCAGATGCTTCGCAAGTCTGCTGGCACTATAAACTGATTCACGCGCAAGTCACCGTCCTTGCACCCATCCTGCTCTGGAGCACACGGTAGACATCGTCGAAATCAACGGTCGAACTGTCGGGTAGGCGGCACAGAACAACTTCACTGTGGCCTTTGATATACGTCAGAGGGTGTAGGGATCGTTTTGCGGGAAACTGTCTACCTTGGTTTTCCGAGTGTAAAAATCGGTGCAACGTTTTCTAACCTAAGGAATTAGTTTTGGCTGCAGCAGTATGCACTTAGGCGTCCGTAAGGCATGGAATATCAATTTTTCTGGAAAAACAGCCATCCGGACATTTCACACCTTAATAAAACTAGCCGTAGTACTGCACAAGAATATGCGTTTATGATATTAGAGTTGCGAAAATTCCCATAGCAGTAATCAGAAGACGAGGTGGCGAGCATACGTAGCTCCCAATAAATTCTCCTCGGGCCAGTACGGGGCAGAAGTAAAGCATGTCAGCGATAAGAGATTTCGATACAAGTTCTCCTTAAAACAGGCGGGGTGTGGGAATGTGGGGGAGGGGGAGGGGGGGGGGTAATAGTAGTCATTGTCAGGGCCGGGGTGAGAGCGGAAGTGCGCGGGGGAGTTGCACCGCTAGTCGACCTTCGACCACTGTAGGCGCGGAGCCTGAACGTGGTTCTTCTGTGCGCACAAGATTGGCTTTCACAACCTAATGGCGGCTGCTTCCGCTGTCGCTAACAGGCGCTGGCCTAGTAGCTTAGGGTAGCTCGATGGGACCTTATAAATCACACGAAAAGCTTCGTTGGGGTCCACACGATGTCCGGAATCGACAACATGCGCGAGAATGGCGCTGCTTATGCTCCTCGTTTCGCCTTTTCCCAGCCATGCCGCGAGGTGTTCCCGTATTCTCTTGGATAAGCGTCGACTCGTGCTTCCAATATAACTGCTCCACAGGAGCAAGTGAAGGAATATATGCACATTGAGGTGGTCTGCGGTGGCAACTTATCCTTACTTTCTCCGCGTAAGATAGGGTTAGTAGAGAATGATATTTGAACCCATGCTGCTGGGAAGGTTCGCGAGACAGCTTGATCAAGGCGTCTCCTTAGGAGTTCACTCGCCGCGTCCCTTTGGAAAGGGACTTTGAGGAACAAAATTTTCTTTTCAGCGGTCGGTGTGGCGGGTTTACCGGTCTTTCGGCAATGTTCTTTGCAATGAACCTGTCAGGATACCCGTTTTCTCGAAGGAAGTCCTGGATGCTTCTGAGCTCCTCCTCGATGTTGAGCATTTTTTCCTAGCTCTTTGTGCCAAACATCGGACTAGATTTCGCTTTTGTTGGAGGGGTACGAAACTGGCGAAGTTCGTGTATTGTCCAGACCAGGTTTTCTTCCGATATTGTTTCTCTCCGTTGTCGGCGTAGACTAATGTAAGATGTCTCAGACAGGGATCCACAAAGACCTAATTCACCACTATACACATGCAGTACATTGATCTAACGCAACAGCCAAACCCACTAATGGGGCCAACTGTTGTTTTCGCAATTAGTTCTGACTGAACGTGCATTAAGACCTACACACGCTATGGAGCTATCTGCCGTCTACTTCCATCGTGTTTGCCTGCCGGACTAGGCGGTTGTTGGGATTTAGCTGTTGTACGCTGGGTACAACTTTGTGGCATGTGAGTGGACTGTTCATACACCAAAATGCATAATCCCACCCGGGCACTTCATCCTTCGACACAACCAGGTTTCAAGAAACCGCATTGCAGATTAACTTTTCCCGGCAGAAACTGCTCTCTTATTTGTTATTGTTAAGGCCCTTTACGGACTTACCAGCCTCTAAACTCCTGATAGTCTGGATAGATATATCAGATACTGAGCCAAGGAAGGACTCCAGTACTCAACGGCCCTTTTCTCGTCTCCAAACCTTGTATCGGTGCTGTTGGGGGTAAGGGGTGAGGAGTGGAAGCTAACTTAGGTGACTGGTGTTTTTCTTTTTCCCTTGATAAAACTACCAACATCTAAGCGGTGCGTGTACACGGTTGGTATTTTTGAAGCTCATTTCGGGGGTGGAGATTTGGCGTGCAGACGGTGCTCTTTGCAAATGGTCACAGCACAGCCAGTTGCTTAAGTAGAAGTACTGCTTTGTGAGCTTTTCTCAAGAGCCTATTTCATCGCGTTCTCTCTCCTCTGCTTTTCTTTAGATCTCCATAAAATGGTGCTTCCGCCATGTCATTGTCTCGTACAGTTCTATGTTGCAAATGGAGAGCTCTCCTGCATGCTCTATCAGAGGTCCGGAGACATGGTGAGTTCTTTATTTTTTCTGAGCGTCGATTGGTCCTGCAGTTTCATTTTCTTAATACCTGGTGCCATGCCTACTAAAACAGTTTCAGTAGGCATGGTTACACTGTATTGCCATATATGATGATAGGGCAGTTGGACCATCTGGAATTTCTCGCTGCTTTGGTGTACAGGGTCAAGGTATTGAGCGTTTGGCGTAATTTGCTGGGATCGTCGATTAGTCGGTCGTTTACTGATGTTCCGCTCAGTTTTCACATCCTATGTTATCTAACTATAGCTGAATAGGGAGGATTTACACCAACGTGAACTTGTGCCGACGTTTGCCTTGACTAAACTAGCCGACTCATCGCATCATGAATGGTCGCCCTTCTATTGTTGCCTATTCGACACAAATAGGGCTAGGTGGCACGCCAACCGCTCAAACCTTTTGCCGCTTTCACTTCAATCTTCAGTTAGCCACCCTCACGCGTCACCAGCCACGGTCGGATTCAGGCGCGATGACATCCTGGAAGATTTCGCCTTCAGGTCGTCGCAGAACACGGCCAAACCATTTCTGTTGGCGGGCAAGGAGACCGCAGTTGAGGAATTGTGCTCCTAACCAACTAGCGAGACAGACTGGAAGTATGTGGAACAAATACAAGCAATTGAATACTCCCAGGCAATGGATACCCTCTGGCAGTGAACTCTTCTACGACCCACTTCCATGTAGAGAGATAAATTTAAGGAGAAACTCATATACTCACATCTTAGCATTCTGACCTTACGTTGATTTCAGAGGTCTCGATATAGTCAGATGAAAGCGGATCCATGCACAACAAGAAATCGGAACTGAGTTAATGAGCATCTGATTCAGAGTCTCTCGTATGTGAGAACCAACAACAAAAAGTAAACTACCCGCGCACCTTTTCTGATTAGTAATGTGTTTTGCTTTCCTTCCTTCCCAGGGTCTGGGTGTGCCCTTCAATATTGCAAGCTACGCACTCCTAATGTTGATGATAGCGCATATTACGGGACTGAAGCCAGGCGAGTTTGTTCATACGATTGGCGACTGTCATGTGTACACCAATCACAAAGAGGCCTTGGAGGAACAAGTGAGTACCACCACCATAGTTATCCCTCTTTACCTCACCGTCATCTAACTCATTTTCCTCCGTGAAGCAAACCCCCTTGTGCGTATCTGTTGCTCAGTTCGCTTGTCCTGCATAATACGCATTCTTCGATGAGCGCTCTTCCTCTCTGGCAAGCATCCATCTATGCACTTCGGAACGCTGCGTACGGTGTATTTTACGTACCTTCTCAGCTTTATTGCTGATAATCTCTCTGAAAACACAACCATAATTTCTTTTGGCGACTAAGTGAACATACGCAGTCATTCAGTAATTTCTGATCGAACCAATGCATTAACAAGTTGACAGGGGTTGGGCAGACTGGGATGGCTATTTCTGGCTTATTTGCGGCCCTTAACTAGCAAGGCCCCAGGCCTGGGCCGACCCGGTCCCTTTAACTGTGATTAGAACTATTCAAAGCCACACGGTAGTGGAGGTCACCCGTCTGTCCTGATTGAAGTCGGAAATGGTCACTTAGTTTGCCCTATCCGTTGATATTTCTCGATTATTGACTGAACGTGTCTACGCGACCGTCCGCATGCATTTACACCCGACTCACGATTAGGACAGATCGATGAGCGCCACAACTGTGCAACGGCATATTTGTTGCAACTGGGCTCTGATTACGGTTGCATTCCTGTAAGGGAACAGCAAAGGACAGCCCAGAACATGACGCATCATTCTTGTCGTTCGGCGGTCACGCCTGACAAAGAACTGCAAACCCGCTGTCCAGTCCAGCCTAGCAAACCCGCTCGGGAGTCAGCAGTTTGCGCGCCGCCGAGTTCTGCGCCACCTTCAGGGCCGCCAGAGCTGGACCGGTAGGAACACGCAAATCAGACAAGGGCAGAAGCTTAAAATACAAAGCCACGGACAGAGGGGTCTGGGAGTTGATATGCACACAGTGACTGTCGCAGTAGAGCTGTTCTCCGCCCTCCTGTCCGTCTTTTATTCCACATAGAACTGGCGTCCTACCACTGGAACATGCAACTAAATGAACGTAGAGTATGTGGGCTAACTCATGAAATGTCAACCGAAATTCCGAAATGAGTTTTCGTTTTGAAAAGATTGACTAAGTAGGGTTGTAAAACTAGTCAGCCGGCAACATAATTCTATAATATTTCAGTTGCTTCAGGATGCCGGCTTTCGAGTGAACTTCCTTCCGGCCGCATGCAAAAGCATTATTCTGTATAAAATGACTACTTACGGAGCAGGAATTTATCTCATTGATTTTAGATGTCCCTAAAAGTCCAATTATAGTTCATGGAAAAAATGCATAAAAATATTCATTCTTTTGCTCATTCGGTAGATAATTACGTTTTCTTCTAATTTTATATTCGAAGGAGGGACATAATTCGGGAATGTTAAATACCGTGATATGGCCGTTCATGAATCGTCATATCTCAGGATGTCCGCTTTCTAACGAACTTCTTTTTGGCTGCGTTCAAAAACTACACTCTGTAAAAAATGACTACTTAAGTAGCGTGAATTTTTCTCATTGATTTGCGATGCCCCTAAAAGTTCAGTTATATTTTATGGAAAGCATGCATAAAAATATTCATTTTTTCTCATTCGGTAGAAAATTACGTCTTCTTCCAATTTTATACTCGAAGGAGTGGTATGATTCGGTTTTCAAAAACTTTTCCAATTCCCGAATAATTTTGAACCCGCTCTGCCGTCACGCCTGCATTCAGGGTTTCCAAACTACAAGACATGTATTTTCGGCGCACGGGAAACCACACATTTCTCTACGGTATTAAGAGGAGACTACATGGGGTTCATAAAATTAAGCAGAGGAGTTGAGCAATATTGTTAACTTTACAAGCCACATTGGTAAATGCAGATACATGACGTTTTATGAACGTCCATTTCATGGTCTTCAAAAAATCTCACAATTAGAAACTTTTCTGAAACCAAATTATACTCCTCCTCCGCTTATGATACTAAAAAAAGAAGTAATTTTCTGCCGAATAAATTAAAGAATGAATATTTTTATGCATTTTCATGAAATATAATGGAACTTTTAAGAACATAGAAAATCAATGAGAAAATTGCATGCTACTTAAGTAGTAATTTTTTGAAGAGTATAGATCTTACATGCAGTCGGAAATAAGTTTGTTCGAAAGGAGGCATCCTGAGGTAACTGGATCATTATAGAATTATGCCGCATGGTGATTATTTTTACAACCGTACTTAGTTAATTTTCTCGAAACGAGAACGCATTTCGAAATTTCAGCCAACATTTCATGAGTTAGCCCACATACTGCACATAGACAACTATTTCTATCACCATTCAAGGCTTTCTGGGCACGCTTAATCACGCACACACACGTCTCACTATACATCGTCACTCGGGACTTTCAATCATGTCCTTACTCCTATCGACTACTACCATGCAGAGGGCAGCAAACCTAGGCAGTGTCCGCTGGGCAGATTTTAATTACTTGAGCCCGCAAATGCCATAAACGCCGTCATTTTCGTATTCTGTCAAAACAGCTCACGCAAAATTATGTCTGCTTAAGCACCCGTTGCATTATGCAAGAAAATGATCCGAGGTAGTGTAAAACCACTAGAAGTTGGCGTCAGTCTAGGTGTATTTTCCGTAGTCTTGTATGTATCCAATACACCTATCAACTTGAAGTCGGCAACACGCTGGCGCGCAGGGGATGGAATATGACAAATAAAAGATGTCAGTATGTTTATGCCGCAGCCGCCGCCTCCTCCTTCTTCCACTTCTCGTCCGCCTCCTCCTTCCTCCTCGCTCTAATCGGGTAAATTGCACTGTTGGTCTCCCCTCAGCTGCCGCGCTGACCCCGCGGAGTAGGGTGTGGTGGTACGCTTAGGTGCGGGTCCGGCCGTGCCAGCCACCTGCGTCCTCTCCCGCCCCCAGTTTTCTTGACTATGTTTTGACACCGGGTCCAGGTGGGGCAGGAGAGAGCGCGGTAGATGCTTCGAAAGTCTACTACCACTATAAACTTATTCACGTACAACTCACCCTGCTTTGGAGAACAAGGTGGACATTGTTGGTCACGACGTCGAACTGTTTTCGGGGTGAGCTGTGCCACTATAATTACCATCACCCACGCACGCCTATTACTTGCTTTTATGTCAATGTGATGTGCTCATGCTCAACATCTTTTCTGCCTCACCAGTGGACTGTTTTTCGGATCTTTTGGTCTATGGGCGGAGCTGTTAGGCCAAGTTTCTTATTTACGCTTCCTTCCCACTTTCAACTATTTCCATGTTTTCCTCCTGCTCAGTTGAAACGGGTTCCACGGCCCTTCCCCAGACTGGTCATTAAAAGGCAGGTGACGGATATTGATGACTTCAAGGCCGAGGACTTCGAGCTCGTTGGGTACAAACCCTACCCGAAAATTCCAATGAAGATGGCCGTCTGAGTGTGAACAACGTGCACTCACTACGACTGCCTCCAACTTTTCTATTTCTAGTCTAGTCTCCTGCCAGATTTTATACAATCACTCCTTTTGATAAGATTTTCTGTAAGAGCGTTCACAATCCTAATATACTCCTATTTTTGTACGCTTTTGTCCCTTCCTGTACCTTGCTCCCTAAGCAGATCTTGCGAGGTATCTGGTTGTTTCTTTCCCACTTTATGGGTCATGTGCGGGCCTTGAGATTGACTATGGTCTCCGGGTGTTAAAAACGCACAAGAGGAAGGCAGTGTCAGAAGCCCTTCCTAGTGACCTTACTCCTATCAAAAGGTTGTGGCAGGGTCATAGATTTATGACGGTCACCATGGTGATATGTCTCCTCAATGATCCCCTCGGGCTGCGGGAGGGAAGGCATTTGTCCACAGTGGGTTACTTCGGATGTTTGCCTATAAGATTGATCAGCAATCAAGCTGGACATGTTGACAACGACAGGGAAGATGCAATGTACGGAGGCGGAGGTTCGAGTCTTCATAAAGAAGACTAGTCAAGCACCGGAACATTCTGTTAATTGTTCTGAGCTCTCGAAGTCATGCAGGAGTCCATTGTCAGAGATAGTAGCAACAACGAAACGAGGGATAATTATGGGGCGTGCTAGCCAACCGTTGGTCGGTGATGCAAGACTGGAGGTGACTGCTTAGGACTATACGCCAGCGCCAGACCGGTAAATCGACTGGCCGAGTTCTCATCCGAGGCCCGAGTCTCATTTATTTCCCGGCATGGGTGATTGTCTCCGTGGCTTAGAACGATAAACAGACTTCCGGTGCGCGGCCAGTCTTCTTTGCTTATGAATGCAATGTATGTTTTCGAATTTGGCAACGGTAGGGTGGAGGACCACACTTAACTGCCAGTAGACAATGTATCATGTCATACGGGAATGGGGTTTGACGGGTGGGGCGACACGCCAGACAGTTTGGCTGACGAAATACAAGAAAATGTGCTTCCACACCACCACGCTCTGAAAATCGTGACTTGGAAGGCTGCTGACTAACAGGACAAGTCGGTCCTCCTCTCACGATGAAGGGTCAAACTGCAGAGCCATGCAGTAGATGCGCTGGGGCGAGGGTATGGTTTGTACCGGGGTCAACGACAGGTAACCTGAGGTGCCTGTCTAACGGGAGGGTGCTACTAGGGGGCATACGGGTGGGACCTTTAGACGAATGCAAAAGTAATTCGAGAAATGAAAATGAGAAAGGGATGTTAAATTGCCTTGAGAACCTTCTAATGCGCTTAGAAAGTGAACGATAGGCAAGCGCACAAATTTGAAAAATTACCCAAGGACGGCAGTCGGGGCATTCCAGGCAACCGAATAAATCGCCGCTGTCTCAGTGAGGGTCGGGTTCGGGTGGAGAACGCGGCCAATGGTAATTGGCCGCAGGCGTTAATCGAAAGTGCAAATAACGGAAATCGTTGCAAATGCCAGAGGCCGCATCAATTGACAGGAATTTGTAAAAATGCAGAACGAAGAACAAGAAGGAAGTCAAACAAGGTAGGTTGAATGTCAATAGGAAAGAATAAACGGAAAAATTTAAGTATAGTAGTAAAAGGAGGCATGGTTTGCATGCAGATATATTGTTGCATGTATCGGAAATAACTTATGGTATGTGACGGTGATCTCAGCGCGAAAGCAAATGGAAAAATTAAATGTAGAAACACAGTAAAACACTGTCCATGTAGATGTAAGCATTAAAATCGGTAGGTAGTTATTAATGAGAATAGTAGGAATAGCGGCAAACCGTAAAGTAAATCATTTTTTTCAATGCAGACCGCCGCGTGAAAAAACTAAAACGAAGGCAAATTCAGGAGGATATGCCAACAGAAACTGATGAAATAATTGAAGTACTAAACTCCAATAATCTGGTACAGTATTGTCAAAACCAAGGACTGCTGCGGCGAAATTTGAAATGTAAACGTTAACGAACAATGTGGCAGCAACTTCTCAGGAAACACACAGACGGTCTCGTCTTTAGATGTCACTGTTGCTGTAATACGAAGGCGTTGCAAACGTGTTTAGTATTTGAAGGCAGCCGCTTACAGTCAGGAAGGTTTTCGAGATCTGCCTATCATTCATAAGAGGAGCCACAGTGAAGCATTGCTAAAGAGAAGTGGGAGTCTGCCCTTCAACGGCAGTGGACTGGTACGTGATATGACGAAATGTGTGTCCCGCGACCCACCATAACCAAACCAGACTACTTGGCGGTTTCGGAGTAGAAGTGCAGATCGATGAGATGTCGCCGAGCCGTCGAAAATACAACGCTGCTAGGCAAAGAAGGTAATTCTGGCTGCTGGAAATGTACGATACGGAGCAAAAGAAAGGGATGGTTAAGCAAGTCAACAACAGAACCTGGAAAGCCCTCAGGCCAATAATAGCAAAGTGGGAGACGAAGGGGAGTGTGATTGTGACGGACGAATGGAGAGCCTATTCACGCTTGCCGTCTGAGGTATATGAACATTACACCGTAAACCACAGTAGAAATTTTGTGGCTGTAACTACAGGCAGGCATACCAACGCAGTTGAAGCGTATTGGAGCCGTCTGAAAAGGAGATAACATGAAGGAGGTCCTATGTCAAACCGAGCTGTCTGGGCCTACACTGACGAGATATAATATTGTCTATGGTTTAAAATAAGCATGGTAAGCCTAAAACAATTGTGGGAAACCTTCCTATCCCACATCGCGGGAGTATACCTCGTGCAGCAGCCAGACAATGGATCGACGGAATATAAGAGGTACGCAGCAGCCACTTCACTTAGCTGTAAGCAGTTCCATGTTTATAAAGTAATTTCGAAATACTGTGCCTCCGATATGTTTCACGGTGGACGTGGACCTAACTGATCCATGCACAGGAGGTAGTTACGAAGGACTGGTAAAGACTAGCGGGATCCAACAGTCATGTGGACAGTGCAATGGGGGTAATAGGCTGCCGCAGGTATGCTGTTGATTGCGGACAAAAATTTCGCATGAAACCCGACACGTCCGGGATGTGGAGCAGAATATGGAGTCTATACAGACATTCCTGCAGCGTCTGGTTCTCACGACGGTTGATTGCAAAGTGGCGAACACAAGCCGGTGAAACGCGTAGAGCACACCGAGGCCAAGGCCTGACTGGTACACGAGCGAAAAATGTAACCCATTAACACTTACTAAAGGGAATGCAGTAGCGAGTTTTGTATATTATTTGGCCTACCCGGGTACAAACCATACCATTGCCTGCGCTAAACCAACACGAGGGTCACATTGGAGTCTTGCAGGCGTTATCGGGAATGCACACCCCACAACAAATACCAACATGCGGGGTGCTGTAGTAGGCCCAGCTGCAGGCTCACTCCTCGCACATTCCGATCCTTGCCAACTCTCTACTTTTATGTCCTGGTCAGGTGTTCCTTGCGAACCATAGGGTGTGGTGGTGCGCCTAGATGCGGGTTTCGCCCTGCCAGCCACCCGTACCTCTCCCGTCTCCGATTATCTTGACTATATCTTGACACCGAGCTCAGATGGGGGAGGAGGAGAGAGTGCAGTAGGTGCTGCGTGGGGATAATTTCATTGTAAGCTAATTCACGCGCAAGTCGCCGTGGATGTTTTACCTTCCTGTGGAGCACACGGTTGACATCGTCGGAAACGACCCTCGAACTGTCGTAAGTGGATAAAAAATTGCACGGTGGTTGTCTTCATCGACAAAGACGGTGGCAATTCGAATGGCCATTTCCGTCAGTCAGTCAGCCAGCCATGCGCCAACCCCAAAGCCGGTACACAAACTTGGCGTCTATTCATTAGGCATTAAGTTAAGAGATCGCGTCCTGTCTGCCCTTCGCACTTAAGACCACCACTGCAGCGGCAGCTCCAGTGTCCCCTTTTACGGCTCCTCTTTGTCAGTCGATGATCGAGACAACCGCGCTAACCACGCTCCCTCCTCGCAAACGGTGTAAGAAGTGCCTCCCGAAATATAACTACTTAATCACTGTGGGTGACTGCCGAGCTCCACTGAGTGTCACAACTTTGTTTCAGGAGAGACGTCACGAAGTAACCTGTCTGCCTATGGCGTTGCATGTCACTCTCCTCCCTCTCTCTCTCTCCGTCTGTTGGTGTTTTCCGTTTGGGCTTGATCATAACTCTGCTTTTTGCATTCGTTTAACACATTTTAAATGGCTGACAGAAAAATTATTAATTGCTTTGAATAATTTTATAGTATGGGACCAGAATAATGAAAAAGCAAACAAACCCAAGACTGAACTGACCACCCATCGCCCTGCTCGGCGTCTCAGTAATCTTGCTCCGTTGTCGTGATACATCTGGCGGCCACCCAGTGTGTTGAGCAGTGACCATGGTTGCGACATCGGTCTGTGGCAAATATTGGTCGGGCAGTCTGTTTGGCTGAGAAGAGCTATGATTTTGCTCAAAAACGGCTGCCTTTTTGGAACTTTGTCGCCAAGCTTAGAAATATTGTCTCCAGCCCAGTGAATCGGCTGCCCCCGATAGAATCATCCGAGCTAGACAATTCGGGCATTGTTTACTTTCACTTTCGGCCTAGTTCTTTGCCAGAGAAACGTCTCTTCCGCTGCCACATCGCCAGACCCAGTGGTAGTTATGCCTCCTTTTACTCCACATTTATTGTCTTGTCTATCCCTCATAACCAGCGTCGGGGTAACTGTAAACCACTGGTATGTCTCTGTCTTTTTTTAATTTTCCGTATTCAGTCGTTGAGATTAACAAGTATCTACTTTCCTCATTTCACCTTCAAGGATCCGATGGTAAACCAGGCGTCTCAGTCATAGCGTTCGTTCTGTGACTGACCTCGCATGAAGACTAAGTCTACTGTTTCCGTCATTAGTCTGACTGATGACGGAAAGTAAGCCAGAAACAAACGTTCCAGGCGCTTTGACATAAGTACCGAAATGGTGGCCCTCTGTATGCTTTCAAAAAATGACCAAGTTTGCTTCTTCCCTTAAATTA